GTGGCCAAGGTGGCCCACCTGCCCTTCCCTGTTCCTTCCTTGCACGCGCTCCCTACCAGGCCCAGTAGGCACGCCCAGCTCACTGAAACACACCTTTTTACCATCCAGATAGGTGCCCAGCCCTGGGTTCCTACCCCTCTTGGAGCCAGCCTTCAAGGTCACCTGTGCCCCTGCTCTGCCCCAACCTGGCTGGCAGGCTGCATGTTTCCATCCTGTTTGCCTCTTTTATTTAATGCCAAAGTTTTAGCCAAAGACATCTTCCTCCTTTTATTGTTTCAGCATTCTGTTCTGCACTGTGGGCTGGCTCTCTTGCCCCAACCCTGGGCAGTGTCCCCTGGCCAGGCCCATTCATGGGTCAAGGCTTCTGGGGGCTCAAGGAAGGCTGAGCTGCTCAGTCTTTTCATGGGTCTTGCTAAGGAAAGTAACATATGTGCTTTAAAAATAATCCTTTTGAAAAGAATTGAGAAGAGAAATGTATAATTTTATCTCATTTTTAATATTTTGGTCTAGCAACTTGTGATACATAGATGACAATTTTGTGAGTTTTTCAAATGTGTGTACAGATTTTTGTAAATATGACTCTTTTGTAATTAACTCATGTACAGCCTCATCCTGTAGAGTTTAACAATGAATGTGCAGGGGACCTGCCCCAGGCTTCTAGGTGGTTCCTGGACTTACAGCCAGGCTTACGTGGCGCTCCCATAATTTTGTGACTGACGTATCTTCCCATTTGGACTGTGGCCTGGCCAGAGACCCCCCCCCCACACACATCCCACTGTAGGGCCAGCCAGGACTATCCCCATCTTCCTAGAATAGGGGAACCTTCCTCATGCCCTGCCCATACCCCTCCAATAAAGACCTATGCCCTCAGCAGCGGCTCGTCATGTGCTGTTGCTGGGATATTTGTACTAAAATAAGCATGGAGGTGTTGATTTTTAAGAAAGTGGGTGAAGAATATGGGAAATTTTATGGTGGAGTCATCTTAGGTTCCTTGTTTCTTCTGAGTGGGGCAGCACAGCCCCTGGTAGGAGACTAGCATTGTTGTGTGTGTAAATTCTTAGGTGGTAGAGAAAGACTTCAGGTAGGACTGTGCACTTGGTTGTCCCTGTGTTCCTCCATCACTGGTGTTCCAGCCAGACCAGGGCCCATGAGGGGTTGGCTTAGGGAAAGGAGACCTCTAGAAGAAGATCTAAAGATCAGTACAGGGCTAAAATCCAGTTTGGAGGGGCAGGTGGGAAGCACAGTGCCTACCTTCAGAGTGAGTTGTAACAAAATACCTGCCAGTTCCAGGCCCCCACACCTCCAGCCTTGAGAGAGACCCGCATTTGGATCACTCTAAGACTTCCAAATCAAGCAGTATGGTCAGATTTTGAGCCTCTGCAACCACGCATCCCCAATCCCCAAATACCTACTTGGTACTAGGAGGATCAAACATGTCTGATTGGCAGAGCCTGGTGCCCTAAGGCCTCAAACCTAGATGTCTCAAAGGGCTACCATTCAGTTGGTTCTACATCAGATCCCAGTAAGGTAGGTCAGCAAGAGCCAAGCTCAATCTTAACTCCCTGGGGACTTATGAAGGCAGACTTCCGGGGACATGGGCTAGATTTTGAAATATTCCACCTCTGGGAAAGAGCTACATACACGGCAATAGTCCTCCTGGGTCTGAGGGAGGGGAGCTTGGGGCCATGAAGGTGGCTAGGGGCCCCACTGGAAAGAGCCAGCAGCGACAGGCCACGGACGGGCACAGGCTGGTCCTTGGGGCCCATTCAGTAGGCGCCACATAAGCCAGATGTCCGCGGCTGAGAGCCCGTGCACTACAACCAGCTCCCGGTAAAAGCAGGGGTCAAAGGTGCGCAGGTGCGGCGCTGATGAAGGACGGGGAATGCCAAAGGTGCGGAAAGCAGGGTGGGGCTCTGGTGTGAGCCGAAGGCGCTGTAGACACATGCCCAGAAAGACGTCGTCAATGGGGAAAAGCTCAACTTGTGCGCAGGCGCCGGCTAGGCGACGCAGCGTGGCCCCTGAAAGCACAAAGCCCCCACCACCAGCGTAGGCGGGGTAGGCGGGCAGGCCATACACGGCCTCAGGGATGTAGTATTTACTGGCCCGCGCACGGATTGGCCGCGCCTGCACGATCACGTCACCCGCGAGCAGGTCCTGCGCCGGGTCTCGCGGCGCTAGGAACTCTAGCAGGTTCCCCACGTGCACGAACACGTCTGCGTCGCCCTTAAAAACAAAGCGCACATCGGGGCAGTAGGCCGAGGCCCAGGCCAGAAAGTGGATCTCCTTGAGCGTTAGGTTGAAGAAAGTGTCGTCGAAAGCCCAGAGCAGGATGTCCGCATACGCCCGGCTCTCAGCACGCAGCAGGGCAGGCCAGTGGGTTCGCGTGCCCTCCCCCTCCGCTTCTGCCCCGTCTGTGCCCGCGGGCCTGGGCACGCCCATCAAGAACACACGGCGCACGAGCGCCCCCTGCACGCGACCCTCAGCACCCCACGTCTGGCGCACCGCTTGGCGCCGCTCGAAGTCCGCCGCCACTGACTTGACCGCGATGAGCAAGTCGGGTCCACCTTCAGGTGAGCCATCTCCTCGGCACTTGCGCGGCTGATTAATGAGAAGGGGGAAGCGCCGCTGGTCCTTGGCGCGCAGGTAACGGCCAAAGTCAAAGGGTCCCGTGGGTGTGGGCGGCTCCGGTGTGTCCCCTTCGTAGGCCGGCGGGGCTGCGGCTGCGCCTGCGTCCGGTGCCTGGAAGACGCGGAGTCCGGGGGTGGGCTCCGGCGCTGTCTTCCTGTGCGTTCGCGGGGCGCTTGTCGTCGGGGCCGCGCCTTCGCGCTGTGAGTAGAGAAGGAGACCGAGGGCGGCGCCGAGGAGCAGCGTGAGCGACGCGTCCCCGCGGAGGCGCAGCCTCCGCCTCATGTCCGCGTGGCAGGCGCCCGCGCCCCCTGCGGAAAGACTCAGTCAGGGGCTCGCGACGCGGAAGCCATTGGCCGGGAGGGGCTCCCGGCCTCCATCTCCCCTAAGGAAAGGGCAGGGGCCAAACGCCGAGGATCTCCGCTACCGGCCATTCATCCCCCTCCAGCGTTCTCCTGCTCTGGGCCGTGGCACACCCCCATACACTGGGTTGGGTACCCTGAAGGGGCTGGAAGTTTCTCCTAGTAGCCAATCCCCACCCCCTCAGCGCCGGCCCAGGACGGTTCCCTCAGGCCGGGAGACGCGGAGCTCGGCCCTGTTCCCCGCCCGCCCTTCCCGCGCTGAAGCCGAATCCCTTCTACCCCTCCCTACCCACCACGTTGGTCCTTGGGATCCTGACACTCACGCTTGTCCCTTGGGAGCGGCGCAGCCCCGGACGCCAGGGCCTCCGGGGCTCAGCGCAGGGTCCCAAGGGCAGCCATGGACGGGGCCTGGGCCAAATGCAGCGTTGGCAGGAAAGGGGGGCCGGGGCTGCTACCACGTGACCCTCCAGCTGTGCGCGCCTGGACATCTGGAGCTCAGCTCCGCCCTGGCGCCGCGGGGAGCGCTGTCTCCAAGTAGAGACTAATCTCTGAGAGGAATCCCCACGGGCAGCTCTCTGTGGGAAAGCCTGAGGGGGAGGTGGCTTCTGGTCTCGGTGTGGACTCAAACTCCCCAAACCTGCCTTTTGGTGGGGCAGGAAGAAACATTAGCCTCTCTGTTAATCTCCGCACCCCCACCTCTCCGGAGTGAGGCAGTGCCTGGGCTAGCCGGAGTCCAGGGCTGGCTGGTCCCAAATCCCGGAGGCTGAGCCTCTTAGGCATCTACTTGGCCACGATCCCAGGCTATCCTTGAAAGCACCTATCCTCACCTCACCAGCCGCCCAGGTTCAACCAGGCAGGACCTATAATCATAAATGGCCCCGGATATATGGTTGCCTCCTTACTCCTGGTTCTGTCATGTCCCCCTCCCACCCCAGCAAACACACACACACACACACACACACACACACACACACCAACAAGATGGCTTATTCAATTCTCACAACTCTGGTAGCGCTCTCATTGCTCATGCAGAGGGGGACACTGCCCCTCAGGGAGTTAAGTGACTTGCCCAGCAACATACAGGCAGAAATTCAGAGCATTGCCCTAGGTCTTCTGGAATTCAGTCTGGGACTCTTTGCTCTGTCCTCCCTTGCCACTCTCCCCATCTGTCCACTAGGATACAGGACAGGGGCCACCATCTCTGCTCTAACTTCATAGGGGAGCACTTCAGTCTGTCTCCCCAGAGGTACCTCTGGCCCCCTGGTCCCTTGTGCTCCAAACCAGCATAGCCTCCTACAGGCAGAAAAAACCAAGCCTGGGTCACTGCAGGCCAGACTAGACTGGCAGGGACGGTGCCACTGGAGGGATTCTGAAGTAGGCCTGTGAGTAAAGGGTCTGATCTGGGACCCCAGTGGACAGAAAGCTGTTCTGGAGATCGAGGGCCCCCTTACCTGAGCAGGGAGCCCCATCCTCCATCAGATTGAAAAGGCAGAAACTCTGAGGTCCTCCTGCACTCTCACTGCTCATCCAGTGTCACTATGCCTGTTATCTTTCATTCTAAACAGCTCACAGTCAGTGTTCATCCCTTCCCTCCATCTCTGCAGCCACTGCCCTAGCCTGGGCCTCCTCCCTTACCCTCCCTCCCTCCACCTCTCCCTCTCCCTCCTCACCAGCCTCCCAACCTTAATGCCCCAGACCCTCTAAATGCTTCTCACTGGCCTCAGTATAAAATTCAAAATCTGTCAAATGGCTTACCAAATCCTGAGCTGTCTGCCTCCCATACTCACAAACTCTGCAAGCCCACCCACCACCCCTAGATCTAGTCACTCCAAACTTTGTTCTTCTAACATCCTCTGTCCTTCTAACTTTCCTCAAGACCTCACCAGAGGCTGGCTATGCCCAGAATGTTGCCATTCCCTCACCCCCCCACTCTCTCCTCTATTCACCCTCCTATCTCTCCCTGGAAGCCCAATCCCTAACCTGGGTTAGGCACCTGCTGCTCAGTGCCCCCATAACTTTTTGTATTTTTCACATTTTAAAAAAACGGGTAATATTTTATTGCTGTTGCTTAAAATTTGCAGTCCGACACAGTATAAACTGGGGGCAGGCAGGTTTCATGTATCTTGTTCACCACGGTATTTGCAGCACCCAGCATGATGGCTAGGACACAGCAAGTGCTTAATGAGTAGTTGTTCAATGAGTGAAGAGGTAAGGGCTGGCCAGAAGCCCCTCATTTGGGGTGGGCAGACTGCTGCAGCAGGTCACCCATGCACCCTGTTAATCTCACAGTATCTGGGGCCAAACCCCCAATGGCACTGCAACAGGAATGGTGGGTGCTTGTCCAACTCCTGGAGAAGGCAGTCGACAGTGCCCAGGAGCTCCAACAGCTGGGCTAAGTGGGGTTACAAGTGTGGTCTCAGAGTCCCATGGATGGACAGGAGCTCAGCAATAGCAGCAGAAGGAGCCAAGGGTCATTCGGGCGCTCCAAATCCTGCTGGGCAACTGGCCAATCCCCCCTTTTTCTGGTACCCAGGTTAGGCCAGGCTGCCATCGGGATTTGTGAGGCCCAGCAAGTCCTCTGCCAGGCTGGTGAGCTCGTTCTCCTCAAGGGCCTCTACCAGGCGCTGCAGCGTGGCCCTGCGGCCCTCTGCCTGCACGAAGCGTCGCAGCATCTGGAAGGCCTGCTCGTACAGCCCTTCGCGCTCATACTCATAGGCCAGTGAATCAAGCGCCGGGTCCCGCAGCGCACGACAGCCTCGCTGCAGAGAGCGCCCCACTTTGCGCCATTTGACACCCACTGAACGCGCAAACGTCTGTTGGTCCTGCAAGCTCAGCGGCCGGTTCACTGCGGGGAGGAGTGGGAAGCAGAGTGAGCTCGGGAACACCAAGACCATCCCAGACCCTGCTCCTCCCAAACTCCCTCTTCCGGAGGACCCTGCCTTGACTCTGCACGCGCCTCACCTATGGGCTGACCCTGGAACAGAAAAGTCTGGACAGGCGGCGGCGGCGGTGGTGGCAGCGGCTTCTCCTCTGAGAGAGAGGTGGCCAGGGACTGCGAGGGCGCTGGAACGACCTCTGTGTTGCCACCCTGGCTCCCCGAGCAGCACGCCAGATTCCGGAGCGCCTCCTCCAACTCAGAGAGTTCCTCGTCCCGGAGCCGGTCAGGCTAGGGAGGGAGTGCGGCATCGGTGGGCGTCTTAGCCGCAGATCCCCGCCCCACCCCAAACTGGCCCCAGCCCAGCCGCACCTTCTGGGCGAAGATGCAACTCAAACAGCGTTCCTCATCCGTCAGCAAGGTGTCCAGCCGCTCCGTGCCGGCGCGCAGCTCCAGTTGCAGCGGCACAGAGTGCAGGGAGAGAGCCGCCGCCAAGCACTCTTGCAGCGCAGCGCGCAGCGACCCCTCGCGGTAAGCGCGGAGAAAGCGGCTGCAGGGCTGGCGCCCGCGGAAACGCACCTGCACAATCAGCTGGGGCTCGCTGAGGTGGATCTTGAGCATCTGCAGTACGTCTGGGCTCCCGCCACTCTCTGCGGAGGCGGACAGTCAGGTGACAGGCGGTCCCCATGTGGGGCCATTTTTCCAAGCGGCCATGGTGGGGTGAAGCCCACACAGACTCCCTCCCTGACCCTAGCTCCCAGCTGGGAAACAAAATTGGGAGGCACACAGCAACAATCCAAAATGAAGGCCAGAACCTATCACAGGGAGCAACGGAGTGGGTGCCTCCCCAGACCCATCCTCGAAGCCCCAAATGAGGGTAGGCAAAAGAGATTGGCAAGAAGCTTTGCAGCAGAGAGAGGGGCCCGTGCCCAGGTCGGCCAAGCCTTCTGGTAGGAAGCCCTCGGGGCAGCGGAGGAGCGGAAGGTGTCAGGTCTTCGGCCTCTACTAACTGTGGTTCCCGCTGCCCAGGAAGGAGGCAGATCCCCCAACTGGCTTCAGTTTCCTGTGGCCTGTGCCCTGAGATGGGAAAGGGGGGCTCCCAAAAGGTAGGTACTGGGGAGGGGTTTTGGGCAAGGAGTGCTGCAGTGAGAGAGGAAAAGAGAAAGAAGCGTAATTAGTAGAAAGCAGTGAGCTGATTGGTCTGGGGAGTCTGAGGGGGCATAGAGAGGTGGGGGCGTTAGTGCATATATAGGTAGATCATACACAGACACGGGACACACGTCTACACCCAAGGGCACACCTGTGTAAACAGAGAAAACAAAGCCAGGCATCCCTCTCCTCTTCTCCACCCTCCCCGTAAAATCTTTTCTGTACCTCGGTAGTTAAGCACAGACCCAAAGAATTGAGGAGGTGGGGCCTCAGCCCCTGGTCCAGCCCACAAAAGGCCCAAACCTTCCCAATTCCTTTCCAAGTACCCACCCACCCACACACCTGTCAGTGCAGTCCGCAGAGCTCTGTACACCGGCACCTTCTGCTGGGCCTGAGCATAGGCATCAGATAGGACCACCTTGTCCAGCGAGGACTCCACAAACAGGTATGCGCTGCCCACCCACTCATCGAGCCCATTTGGCCCAGTCGCCATCTTGTCCCCTGGAGACACAGATAGTCAGGCATCCAGATCACCCCCCACCCAGCCCTGGAGACAACTGTCCAGTCCTGTGTGGTTCAGCTGCTCCACTCCCCCGCCCTCTGCCCAGCCGGCACACTTGTGAGGGGAAGTTCATCCTCTTACAGGCAGCCCCTTGTGCTTCTAAATCTGCACAGCATAGCCCAGCTCAGCCCAGACTTGCAATGAGGACTGTCGCGCCATTATCTTCCCAGAGAAAGCACAGGGTCACAGTGGCGGAAAAAGTGAGGTACTCCCCTGTGGTGGTGGCAGAGAAGGTCTGCCCTCTCCTCAGGCCAGGAGATCACTCTTTCAAAGCTGACAGGGGACATCCTTATCCTGGATAGTGCCCATGCCCCATAGCCAACAGAATCCATATCCTGGTATGCCTTCAGCTTAAACTTGAACCCCCATGATCACTTCGGGACAATAGCCCTCACTAGGTTTTGTCACCTGCATTCCTACTACATACCTCCTGGGTCCATTTCAAATGACACCTGTAGTTTTCACCTGCCCAGATTCCCTCTCCTAATCCTGATTCACCTTTGGGGCCTTCCCTCTTCCCTCTTCTCAATTCATGTGCCTGTTAGGAGCCCTAACTCCACTCCCTAATTCCAGGTGTGCACAAGTGAAATAGGCCTGGCCAAATCCACATATTCTACTCCCTTTTCTAAAGTGATTAGTTCAGAATTGGGCATAGGATTTAGGTTGGACCAACCAGTCAGAACCAGCCTGCAACTGTGGCTGGACCTATAAGGAAGAGAGACACTAGTTTCCCTTCCCATGGGACTGAGCTGGAAGAAAGGACAGGACTCCTCTGCCGCTGCTGGAAAGAGCCTGGCAGAGAATAAAACTGGCACAGAAGGATACAGAGCCAAGAGAGAAAGAGGTGCACGCCTAACCATGCTATGCTCTTGGCTCTAGCTGAACCCTGAACTCAGTTATGTCATTTATTTTTTTTTTTAAAGATTTTATTTATTTATTTGACAGAGAGAGATCACAAGCAGGCAGAGAGGCAGGTAGAGAGAGAGGAGGAAGCAGGCTCCCCGCTGAGCAGAGAGCCCGATGCGGGGCTCGATTCCAGGACCCCGAGATCATGACCGGAGCCGAAGGCAGCGGCTTAACCCACTGAGCCACCCAGGCGCCCCTCAGTTACATCATTTAAATCGTTCCTTTTTGTTCTAAAGTCCTTGCAGTTGGACTCTTGTCCTATGCAACTCAAATTGTTCTATTACAGATTTCCTCCCTGTCCAGACAGAGCCAGAGCCCCTTGGTGCTCATATCTCCTCTATCTTCTGACAAAATCCTAGCCCCTAGATCATGGTGGGAGGGTGGGAAGTTCCCAACCAGGAAACCACTTCATTGACCCTCCTCAGTTTAACTGCCTCCCAGTTACTGCACTGTGAGGCTGTAGGTGGAGAACTGCCCTGCCTCTTCCTCCCCACCCCTCCTAAGGCAACATTCCATCCTTGTCCCAGAAATGTTGGCTCAAGACCTCACCTCTTGCCCCAAGAGTCACACTTCTTTATCTCTGATCTCCAGCGTTTACATATAGTAGGCTAGGAGAGGGTAATGAGTCCTAGCTGTGAGCACCCTGGATGTCATTGCTCTGGGCAGAACAGATGGGGTGGGCCCCAGCTGTCACCCATTTACATGAGGGACAGGGAAGGGGGGGATTGCTGCCACAAGGAACTAGGACCACAGCCTTGGACCTTGTTGAGGAAGGAGAAGGAATCCTGAGCTAAAAGTAGAGGCTGCATTTCAGATCTGCTGCTACACCCTAACCCAAGAGCCAGTTACTGGGCCAGGGGCTCCCCAGCATCACCCAGACCTGGCAAGAGAAATGGTACCTAGTGATGGTCCATCCCACCCTCTGTCTGCGCACAGGGGACATGCCTTTTGAGTGCCCCCCCCCATAACCTTTCGGTAGAAAACATATTGATATTTGTGTAGTTACCCAAAGCAGTAGTCTGGAAATTAAAAGGAAGCTAGCTAGCATTGTTTACCTCTGCAGAGGGTGGGGAAGAGAGTGGGGAGAAGGGAGATTCTTATTTTCATTGTATTTTGCAACAAGCAACTTTATGTAAAATAGACCTATGTCCCTTGTATTAAAAGTCAACATAAAGGGGCGTGTGGGTGGCTCAGTGGGTTAAGCCTCTGCCTTCAGCTCAGGTCATGATCCCAAGGTCCTGGGATGGAGCCCTGCATTGGGCTCTCTGCTCAGCAGGGAGCCTGCTTCTCTCTCTGCCTGCCTCTCTGCCTACTTGTGATCTCTGCCTGTCAAATAAAATAAAAATCTTTTTTTTTAAAGGCGACATAAAATTGAAGCAAAAAACAAAACATAAATGGGGTAAGACTCTATAGGTGACAAGTGGGACCAAGAGCAGTACAAGACAAGTGAAAGGAGTTAGAGCCTAAAGGGAGTGGACCAGAGGGTAGAAGAGTGTGGGAACCTGTTGTGAAACATTTCCCCTTCCTTGTCTTCTTAGCCCCGTGACTAGAAGTTGCTGACCCCATCATTTTGATCGGCCCACGGACGGAAGTGAGGGCAGGACCCGGCCAAAGTCTGCCTGTCAGGACTGTCAGGGCGGGCACTGGAAACCTGGAGGAAGAGGCGATGCTCCATCACACTCACTAGTGGACAAATGGGAAAAGTCAAACGGGTCTGCGGGCCTGGAGGTTCAGTGGGTCAGATAACTGGGACAGGGACCTTCGGCTCGCTTGGTCCTCTGGGTAACTCCTTCCCTACGTGTCCTACAGAAGCCCCTCCTCGGGAAGCCCCGCGACTTACCCCCCCGCCCCGGGACAGCGCCTCTCTGAGGGTGGAAACGGGCCAGGTCCTGGGGACTCTCGGCTGAGCTGAGACTGTGAGCGACTAGCGGGTACCGACTCAAGAAAATAGGCCCCTACCACCAGGGGCCAGCCAGGCACAGCGCGCCATTAATATAGCCTAACGATCCCCTGGCAGGTCCGCCTTGGGCCGGGTGGCCCCTCAAGGGCTGCATCCATCCTGGAGCGCCCCCTACTCAGCTGGCCTGCTCCCAAGCTCCCGAGGGAAGTTCCCCTGACTCCAGTTGTGCCCCTTCTCATGCTGGGGTCGCATGTTCATCTGGCTGGGGCGGGAACAGGTTTTTGTCCACAGACCTTTTCAGAACCAGGCCCAGCCCGCCCTCCAATCAGCAGGAACCTGACACCCCCTCGAAAGACCTCAGCTGGGACAAGGAACCTGCGAATGCCAACGTACGCTCTCTGTCGCCTCTCACGGAAACAGCCCAACAGGCCGACGCCACCAACTGGCGCGGGCAGTCGCGGATGACAACTGAGCTGCGCCCACCCTCCTGAGCCAGGAATCGCCTCTGCTCGCGCCAGCACCGGGAAGCCCACCCACCCTCTGCACTAACCTGGCGGCCTTGGCCCAGCCCGGATTCACACGCCCGCCGGGCTCCACTGGACTAGGATGCTTCCGGGTGTGCGCGAAGCGCAGGGGTGGTGCCCCAGCCGCAGCAGCCCAGTCAGCCCCGGAGTCCCGCCCCCAATGCTCCCAGCGGTTTCTTCCCGCCCACTGTCCTTCGCTGCCAGCCCCCAGCCTCTGGGCAAAGCCCACCTGGTCCGTTGAGCAGGTAAGACATTGGCTCCCGAGGTTGGACGGCGTAAAGAGCCACCGGAAAAGACTTAGGGCGCTTTTCGGCTCTTATGATCCCAGGGGTAGGGGGCCCAGGGTGAGAGCTACCCCGCTTTCTCAAGCAGGGAGCGGACGAATCAACAAAGAGGCACCGCCTGGGCACCACAATTTTCTAGTGACGTCTGGGTGGGGAGGGTTTGAGCGAGATGATCTCTGACCTCTCCTACTCCCTGACACTCAGAACGGGGTGCCGGTGAGTCCAAGTTCAAGCCTGGCCGCGGGTATCTGAAGCCCCAGTATACATGAGGTACAAAGTGCAGTAAGGGACCGTTAGCCTGGAAAATATGGGGAACTAGAAAACTGGCAAGTGGTGTGAAACGTTGTGTAGGAAAACTTTCAAGCACCCTAAAATGGGCAACTTTGAAGAGGACACACTTTCCGATAAAGGCTTCGCTCTGTAATGGGTCTGCAGAACTCCAGCTGAACCGAAACTGCCCGACCTGAGCCTGGACTGGTCCGGAGTCAGGATTGAAACTTGAACCCAGGGCCCCTCAGGCCCCAGAACCCGAAGCTTTTCTCCACCCAGCGGGCCTTTCTTTGGAAGCACCCGGTACGTCTCCCCAGTGAGGTGGAGGAATGGAAGGAGCTTCCCCTCTTGGAGCGGATTCAGCTGTGCCCCACCCCTCCCCCGCTTCCTGATTGGCTGGTGGTCCCCGCCAATTAGAAGTCTTCTCCAGTGCCCCCGCCCTATTAACCCTGGAGTCACTTTCTAGTGACTGGCTTGGGATGAGGTCTCTCAACTCCGGACCTGTAGAGTCAACTGGTACTTGCTGAAATTCAGATTCCTGGGCCCCACTTTTACCGGAGAGCCTGATTTAGTAGGTGGGGCGGTAGACTCTGTATTATGAACAAGTGTCCGGATTATTCTGATATCCCCCGCCGTCTGAGAAGCCCTCATTTCAATGGCCCTTGAGGCGAGGCTTGGGTCCAGTACTAACCTGGAACTCAACAGAAGCTGGGAAGAAAGCAGTTCTGGAAGGTGTCTGGAAGACTAGTCTGGGTGGTCCCGGTGGCTCTGAGTGTGTGTATAGGGAGACAGGAGGCTCTCTGAGCTGGGGTGGGGTGGGTAGGGGAGGACAGTTTTGTCCCAAGTCAGGGCAGGTGCAGCTGCCCTCCACCTTCCCCAGGGAAAACTTTAGGGGCGAAGAGAAAAATCCAACAGCATTTTCCAAATCCAGATGTTTGGCTTTATCAACCTCGTACACAGATCGTGGTTGCATTCCTTCTAGTATAGCATAAAATGTAGATAGATTTGTTCAACAAATGAGAAGGTAGTATAAAGGAGAATCAGAAATCCTTCAGCATCCAAGGGTGATGATGGGTCTGAGACCTGTGCAGTAAGTGAAACTGGGCCTCATGCTTTGTTTAATAATTTGGTTAAATGTTTTGCTGTCACTTGAAATTATTAATAATATTTTCAGCGAAGAGTCCCCCATTTTCACTTTGCATTGGGCTCTGCAAATTATGTAGCAGTTTCTGGGCCACAAGCCTTTGCACACATAGGCTCTGGTGGTCCCCTCAACATTTTGGCTTTCTGGAGCCCAGAGACGCCCCTCTCTCCAGGCAAGAGCTTCTGGAAGCGGCAGAGTTCCCATCTCTCGCAGGGCCATGGCCGAGCCTGGAGAGCAACTGCCAGAGGAGGTGCTGGCGCTCATCTTTCGCCACCTGTCTCTGAGGGACCGTGCAGCTGCTGCCAGGGTCTGCAGAGCCTGGGCTGCCGCTGCTACCTGCAGTGTGGTGTGGCATGACACGACCATCAGGTGAGCAGGCTCCTCCCTCTCCCTCCTTCTCCCTTTCTCATGGAATCAGGGGTTGAGGATATCTACATGTAAAAGCATAATCATTACTAACATTTGTTGGCCACATACTATGTACCAACTGGTGTTCTAAGTACCTTACATATATTAATTTAATCCTCACGAAAACCTTATGTAGTGATAGGTAGAATTATCTCTATTGCACAGATAGGAAATTGATGCAGAGAGATTTAATTACCTCGTACAGGTCACTCAGCTAAGTAGTAGCAGAGGCAGAATGGGAACCTGACAGTCTAGAGGCCCCTGCCTAGCCCCCTGAGAAAGCTGAGTTCCTGAAATATCATTGGCTCTCCCTGCCAGGGCTTCAGCTCACGGCAGGCGCATCTTACATCGTCCAAAGGAGTTCCCTCCTAGTATCAGTGGCTATTTGGGGGCAACCTGGCATGACCAGGACTGGGAGGTATATGTGTGGGGTGTCAGGAAGTGGGGATGGGCAGAGGCTTCTTGCGGCCAATGCCTTTTTCACCACTGTTCTAACTGCAAGTTGCGACTGTGAGCGAGAAGGCACGCTGCTACCATACCTGTCTGCCTGCCTGGACCATGTTCACAACCTACGACTGGAATTTGAGCCGTCGAGGGAGCCGAGCCGCCGGGCGGCCACCGAGTTGCTAACCGCCCTGGCGGTCCGCACCCCGGGACTTCGAAGCCTGCGCCTGGAGTGCCGCGGAGAAAAGCCGCTCTTTGATGCAGGCCGCGACATCCTGGACGCCGTGCACGCTATATGCCGGGCCGCCTGCGCGCTGCGCCACCTCGACCTTAGGCGCTTGCCTTTTACGCTGGACGACGCGTTGGTGCTGCAGGCGGCACGCGGCTGCCCCGAGCTCCGCAGTCTTTTCCTTGACAACTGTACGCTGGTAGGCAGCGTGAAGCCCGACTCTGTGCTCGAGCTACTAGAAGCCTGCCCGCGCCTGCGCGCCCTCGGCCTACACCTAGCTAGCCTGTCGGGCACTGCCCTCCAGGTGCTGGCAGCGCCGCACCGCGCGCCTTTCGCTCTCCTGGCCCTACGGTGCGCGTGCCCCGAGGACGCACGCGCGCCACGCCTGCCCGAGGAAGCCTGGGCCGCGGTGCGCCGCCGCCACCCGGGACTGGCCGTGGAGCTGGAGCTGGAGCCAGCGCTGCCCGCTGAGAGCGTGACGCGCGTCCTACAACCTGCCGTGCCAGTGGCTGCGCTACGCCTCAGCCTCTCTGGGGATACCGTAGGCCCGGTGTGCTTTGCAGCGCGCCACTACGGCGCAACCTTGCGCGCTCTTGAGGTGCGCGCCGCTGCCTCAGCGGAGCTGGACGCTGCACTGGAGTTGCTGGCGGCGCGCTGCGCGGGCCTGCGCGAAGTACACTGCTTCTGCGTGGTACGACCCTCTGTGTTGCATGCCTTCCGCGCGCACTGTCCGCGCCTGCGCAGCTACACGCTCAAACTAACGCGGGAGCCCCATCCCTGGCTGCCCACGCCTGTGGCGTGATGGGGTGGTCGCCTCTCCAGCATATATGTGGCCGCTAAGATGCTGGATGCATTTGTCCAGGCGTGCACCAACGCCAGCCCGCTCCTTCGGGTCTCTGTTGAGTCTTGTGCCTCTGGAAGATGAGCGCATGTAGGATAGCGTCGGGACCATCCCAGGGCGTCTTGAGTCCACTGGACGCATCTCCATAATGGGATCATCCTCCCCCAGTCCCACTCCTCTGCTGACGCTGCGCTAGCTCCACGGCCCTGGCGCGTGAGGGGGGCGGGTAGAGAGAGGACCCTGGCTCCTGTGGCGACTTGGGTGTGAGTGTGAAATAAATCCTGTAGCAACACCGCGTCCTCTGGAAGGCGGGCCGGCTCTGAAGGGGGAGGGCGGGAAAACTTCAGAGGCCCAAGCACCCGACCCGGCTGGCGTGGATCGATCAGTTGTACCGATGGGGCTACGGAGGTCAGGGGCAGGGCACTCCGCATCCTTGGAATGACAACGCCCCAGAGTTCTGCGGGATGGTGCCAGCTTCTCTCCGCACCCGCTCTCCACACCCCTTGCTCCTATCTGCCCTCCCTATCCAGGCAATGGCCATCGCCTTCTAGGGCTTTTCCAGCCCACACCGGGTCGCGCATGGGTGATTTCTCCCGAAGAGCAAAGGAGGAAACAGCCTGAGAAGGGTGGAACTAGAACCCCGGTTTTCCTCCCCACCGCACCCCTCCACTCACATTAGATCCCAGCCTTCCCTTTCCGTCTGCTGGTGCGGCTGCCGAGGTCTGAGCCCCGCCCCGCGGGTTCGCACGTGGTCCCCACCTGACCCCGCGCCGGGAGGCGGAGTAGGGCGGGGCGGGCGGCAAACGCAGCACTTTCCGCGGCTTTCACAAGCCCGCGGCACCCGGCCCGAGCTCTTAGCCGGGCGGAGACTGCGCCATGCAGGAAGCGCCAGCCGCGCTGCCCACGGAGCCGGGCCCCAACCCAGTGCCTGCGTTCCTCGGCAAGCTATGGGCGCTGGTGGGAGACCCGGGGACCGACCACCTGATCCGCTGGAGCCCGGTGAGGGCTGGGGCCCCGTGACTTCCCCAGTGGTCCCCAGGATCCTTCCAAGTCAGTGAACATCCACGCCCACCCAACCCCTCTCTGGGACAGGGCTATGGGTCTCCCGATTCAGCTCTCCAGTGTAGTTTAACTTGGAGGGGGTTGTGCGAGATGAAAGTGAGGCGACTTCCTCCGGACCGAGGAAAGGGTAGGCGCCTTCTGGAGACCTAGAGCCTGAGGGATCTTTGAGGTCATTTAGTTCCCACCCCACCCCAATAGACAGGAAAACAGAGTCTTGGAGAAGGGAACAGCTAGGTCTGGTTCTGGATCGGAGTGGCGTCTTGGGTCTGGGACCCGTCCAGGGTTGGAACCCAAGTCTGGCTTCTGCTCTTTCTTTCCCAGAACCCAGTACGGAGTCTGGGTCTGGCTAGGGTAGGGACTGACTGTGGTCGCTCCAGGCTAGGCCGCACAGCTGGTTCTGGCCTGGCCTTGTCCCATGTCTTCATGAGCGGCACGGGTCTCCAGCGTGAGTACGAGTGTGTGTGCGTGCGTGCGTGTGTGTGTGTGTGTGTGTGTGTGTGCGCGCGCGCGCGCGCCAAAGCGCGGGCCTGGCCGAGGGCGGGCACGGCTCACTGTGTCGTTCGGTCTCCGCCCGCACCGTGGGTGGGCGGGCTGCGTTCTTGGCAGAGCGGGACCAGTTTCCTCGTAAGCGACCAGAGCCGCTTCGCCAAGGAAGTGCTGCCCCAATACTTCAAGCACAGCAACATGGCAAGCTTTGTGCGGCAGCTCAACATGTGTGAGTCCCTAGGACCAGGAGGGAAGTGGGTGCGAGGGCCTTGGTGAGCGGGTGGTGGGGCAATTTACGCTCCCACTCCCCCCTCCCTAGATGGTTTTCGGAAGGTGGTGAGCATTGAGCAGGGCGGCCTGCTTAGGCCCGAGCGCGACCACGTCGAGTTCCAGCACCCGAGCTTCGTACGCGGCCGAGAACAACTACTGGAACGTGTGCGGCGCAAGGTGGGGGTGGCCTTCGGGAACCAGCAAACTCGCGTGGAGGTGTCGAGAAGGCTAGCCCTGTTCTCGAAGACTCCGAACTGATGGTGCCTCCCACTTGCAGGTGCCTGCGCTGCGCAGCGACGACGGCCGCTGGCGCCCCGAGGACTTGGGCCGGCTGCTGGGCGAGGTGCAGGCTTTGCGGGGAGTGCAGGAGAGCACCGAGGCGCGGCTGCGGGAGCTCAGGCAGTGCGGGGGGAGGGGGCGTAGGAGGGTTGGGAGGGAGAAGGGGAGTCGGTGAGAGGACACTGGCTGCCAGGCAGTTCTGGACAGCTCCTTCCTCTTTCATTTCTTAGTGCCTCCGTCCAAAGAGGGCTGAGCTGTGGAACTCAGTTCTGGACGGATGGATGCTCCTCGGAGTGGTCGTGGGTTTAGACCTGCCATTCTGTGGGGGGTGGTGACCGGGAAGACTCTCAGATGCCTCAGCACCTTCCCACGCCTTCCCCCACAGGCAGAACGAGATCTTATGGAGGGAGGTGGTGACTCTGCGGCAGAGCCATGGTCAGCAGCACCGGGTCATTGGAAAGGTGTTCCTCTCCCCCTATCCTCTCTACCACTCCTGAACAAATCCACCTGGAAGTGCCTTGTTGGGTGGGGACAAGGTCCCAAGTATGAATTAACTCTTTGCTTCCTCTTTAGCTGATCCAGTGCCTCTTTGGGCCACTTCAGACAGGGTCCAGCAGCACAGGAGCGAAGAGAAAGCTGTGAGTGAGAAAGTCAGGGACGTCCACACACACCCCCCCCCCCCTTCACTTCCAGGAACCTCCCTGCCAGTGGTCCCATGCAGGGACTCCTTCTCCTCCAGCAGCTCTCTCCAGGAATCCTCATTGTTCTTCCCTGCACTACAGTGTTCCTCAACCCATGGCAATTTCCCCAAGGTCCCCCCTCCAGGACTTTCCCTCTCTCCCTCCAATCCTACCAAGTACTCCCATTCCCAGATCCCTGTGTTCCAGGACCTTAGCCCGCAATTCCTACACCCAGCAGTCCCTTTCCCCTCACCCCAAAACATCCCAACAGCAGAGGGTCTGGGGATCAAACCATGCTCTCTCCCTCCCTTTTCCACCCTCAAAAGGCCCCCATTTCTGGGGGGAGCCCCTTCTGCTTCCAACATGTGACTGATGCCCTGGCAACAGGCCTCAACTCTGCTGACTTGGCTGCTGGGGCCTGAGGGAGGGAGGTGCAGGCTGAGAGGCCTGGGGGATGTAGCTGCCCTGCCCCCTGCACAGGTCCCTGATGCTGGAGGAGGGGAGCTCATGCCCAACACCGGCCAAATTCAGTGCTTGTCCCCTACCTGGTGCCCTCTTGCAGGACCCCTACTGTATCCAGTCGGTAGGTTTTTTCTTCTCCTCCCTTCCCTAGGGCACAAGTGGGCTTATGGAGAGCCTATTCCTTTGCCCCATTCTCTAACGGGAAGAGAACGGGAAGGAGGCCAGCCTTCCCCCCCACCCCGCCCCACCCCAAACCCAGGCTCCCCAGCATGGACTAAGCCTCCCCCCTCAAATCTTACTCCTCAGACCTGGTGGATATGGGTACCGGTTAGGTTCTGCCTCTCCCTGTTGCTTGAGAGGAAGGACTGGGCTCAGTCATCTATTTACAGCCCCTCCCAGAGACCGCCTTGGGCCTCAGCAGCTCTCACAGGGCCAGGGGCCCTATCATCTCTGACATCCATGAAGACTCTCCATCCCCTGATGGGACCAGGCTTTCTCCTTCCAGAAGTGGCAGGAGGTAAGACAGACAGGGCTGCCCTCTGGGGAGCTTATAGGGGAGGGCCTGGCAGCCCAGATGGCTGTGGAGATAAGGGGGAGGGCAGTGCTGGAGTCTGGTTGAAGCTTTTCTCTGGTGCAGGGAGAAGGGCCTGGCACTGCTCAAAGAAGAGCCGGCCAGCCCAGGGGGGGAAGGCGAGGCCGGGCTGGCCCTGGCCCCAAACGAGTGTGACTTCTGCGTGACAGCCCCCCCGCCACTGCCTGTGGCTGTGGTGCAGGCCATCCTGGAAGGGAAAGGGAACTTCAGCCCTGAGGGGCCCAGGAATGCCCAACAGCCTGAACCAAGGGGTCCCAGGGAGGTACCTGACAGGTGAGCAAAGCGTCTATTCTTGCCTGGGAGTCCTGGGGGCCTCTTCTGCAGGTAGACCTCCGCTAACTAACTTCCCAGCCTTGCCTACCCCTTGTGGCTGAGGGGGAGGTGAGGCAATATGATGACCAGATTTCTCAGAGTTGCTCTAAAGAGTACCAGTACCAGAATGCCCTGGAAAGTAGAAGCTCCCATCAGGTCAATCAGTCTATCTAGGGTAGAGCCCAGGAACCTGTATTGTAACGGAGTTCATTTCGGTGATTGGAAACATTGAAAAGTACACTATAGTTTAAGAACCATGGGTGCTGACAATTCCAAACAAAAGGGACATGTATCCCAAGACCCCAGTTTCATAATCCAAACCTCAGGTCAAACCTAGGAAGCAGAGGCGCTCCTTAAGCACCCTCTATGTGGGGAATCCTACCATCTTGTAGTTGTCCTATTCTGATCCTGATGTATCCAGGTTCCTTAGGAACCTAATGCGGGGTGAACACTGCAGGCCAACAGCAGTTCTCTGTGTGCAGGGGAACTCTGGGCCTGGAGAGGGGGGTGCGGAGCCCAGAGCATCTGCTACCTCCCATGCTGCTTCAGCCCCCCACTGAAAGTGTGGAGCCCGCAGGGCCCCTGGATGTGAGTATACCTTCAGCAGGGCAGGGGCACAGGGCAGAGGGGAGGGGGGGCCTGGGTGTGGTCTGTTTGGAGGGGGAAGGGCACCACTGGCTGAGCGCTTCCCCCAGGTGCTGGGCCCCAGCCACCAAGGGCGAGAATGGACCCTGATGGACTTGGACATGGAGTTGTCCCTGGTAAGATGAAGGTGGGGACGGCAAGGGTTAGAGTTACTGAACCAAGCCCTCAGCCAGAGCCCCAGCTCCCTTCCTCCACTCCCCTCCCCAACTGCTTCCTGGGGTTCTCCTCTGCAGATGCAGCCCTTGGGTCCAGAGAGGAGTGAGACTGAGCTGGCGGTCAAAGGGTTAAATTCTCCAGGGCCAGGTGAGAGTTGTGGTGACTCGGGACCTTGGTCTGAGCTGCCAGGATTGGGTGGGCTGGACAGTTTGTGTTTTGAAGGGAAGTCCCCTGAGTTCAGGCTGCCCCTGGGATAGCTACTGAGGCTACCCATGCTCTGGCCGGTGGGTGAGAGTGGAGAATGTGTGTTTCATTGTGACTGACCAGCAGGCAGGACAGGTGAGGCTCTCCTTCCTCCAAGAGAGGAGGAAGAGCTGTCTCTCCTTGCTGAGCACAGCCCAATCCTCCTAGGGAAGGACTCCACCCTTGGAGCACCACTCCTGCTGGATGTCCAAGCGGCTTTGGGAGGCCCAACTCTCGGCCTTCCTGGAGCTTTAACCATTTACAGCACCCCTGAGAGCCGAGCCTCCTACCTAGGCCCCGGGGCCAATCCCTCCCCCTGAGACCTGCTTTGCTCTGAAGCCAGCCTACCTGAGGGGCTGGCCTGCAGCAGCACCCCCTTCTGGGCTTCCTGGTGCCCTTGGAAGAGGCAGAACCAAGACCCTGCTACTTTGTGGTCCTTCTCCATTACTGAGCCCTGCACATAAACTGCATTTTTTTCTGTGTTTCTGGTCTCTTTTCTCTACCGACCAGGGAGCACAGAAGTCATGGGTGGGGGTGGAGGGCGACTTTGCATTCATAGAAATTTCCAGATGCTAAAGCTTTAGTAGCGGAACCCCTGGAGAGAGGAGGTGCTTGGGACACTAGGCCCTAGTTATGCTTAGGCTCCTGCCCAGTGGCCGGTTCCAGGGCTGGCACGTGGCCACTGCAACCTCAGGGGCTTTTGGGGTCACATCCGGTTCCACAATGCATCTGCTCTGTGATCCTGGATAAGCTTGTCCCCTTCTCTGAGCCTTATCTGGGATAAGCAGAGAGAGTTCAAGGAGAAGATGGATGTAAATCTGGGAATTGCCGGGCGCCAGAAGGACCCCCTCCCGGATTCATTCGGTGCGCCTGCGGTGGGGAGGGAAAGCGGACTATGCCTAGAAGCCCAGGGGTGCGCGGCCCCCGAAGCCTGCCTCTGGGTGTCCCCAGAACAACCCCCCCCCCTTCCCCTCCCCCCTCCCAGTTCCCGGCAGCCCTGGCCGCCCCGCCCCCGCCGCAGCAGCTGCTCCCACCCCCACCCCGCCCTGCCCTTTCTGCCTCGTCATCTACTGCCCCGCGGAGGCTCGACCCACGAGTGGGGCCGCCGGGAACGCTTAGAACCGGGAGCCCCACCCCACCCGGCTGGGGGAGGGAAGAGATACTGAGATTGGGCAGAATCCGCGCCCGACCACCACCAGCCGAGCTCGAAGGAGGTCTGTGAGCACCGCCCCTCCACCGGATTCAAGCGGTGGGACTGGGTGTGGGGGAGGTAAGGGGAGCCTTGTGATCGCTCTTTTGTAAAGCCTCCCGCGGTTTCCCACAACCGTCGCTCTCTAGCATAAGAGACCGCGCAGAGAGGTGGGAAGGAGGCCGACATCTCCGTCGATGCCTCGCACCTGGAGCCGCCTGGCGCTCCGGATTTGGCCTCTGATCCTTGAAGGACTGGCCGGGACTTAATTTCGGTATTTAGTTCCGACCGTTGACTTGCCGCTGGGGCCTGTGCACCCCACACAGGACAAAGTGCAGCACTTGGCATACTGCAGGGAGGAGGCTAACATGAAAATAACTTGCAGAGCCATGAGGGAGAAGGGGCCAATCCAATCTGTCCCCCACCCCCAACTTGTACTGAGCAGGTCCTGCACCCGTGACTGGGAGACAGTCTTTGGAGGTCTCCGCTGAAGAGGGCAGAGGGTCCCTGAACACAGTGAAGTGATGTCAGCGTGGTGGTGAGATGCTGCTTCTGGGGCACACAAGAGAAGGAGCCAGTCTGCCTTGGGGACGCTCAGGCACTGGGGTGGACAAGGGGACATTTGAGTCTTGGAGGATGGGCCCCCAGCGTGGAGGGAGGGGAAGGATATTCCAGGCTTAGGGAACAGCATCTGCAAACGTCCACATGTGCCAGGGGCTTGCACGGTTCTCCCAGCACTGTGTGGTGGAGGGAAATAGGTGGTGGTGGGGGGGGGGAACCTGGCTGTCCATAGGGGTGGGAGTTGGTTTGAGTGGCCAGGCCACATGATCTTAATTCTCTTTGATGGGCAGTGGGGAAAGGCGACAAGTAGTTGAGGCTGATATTCTGCTTGGCAGGAGATCTCAAAGTTCAAGCTAGGCCAAGTCAGATTCCAATTCTGCCCTCTGGTCTCTCTGAAACTGTCTCCTCATCTGTAAAATGGGGACAATAAATCCTGCCCCAGAGACTTGTCAAAGTCACTATGCTTTGAGGGTGATGGGACGGGAGTGAAGGGTACTGAGAGAGACTGTCACAGGAGATGAGGTGATGATGGGGGGCTGAGGGAGGACGCTGATGGAGACCCAGGGAGAGGGAGGGGCAGGGGATAGTTCTGGTCTCTGCTCAGTAGTCTGGGGGAAGTACTGACAATGTGGTATGGCCAGGAGTGGTGAAATGACCAGGGAGGCATAGCATGACACCAGGTGGTAGTGAGAGAGACCTCGGAGGCAAGATGGGGCTAGGACCACAACCACTATCCCAGACCTAGAGCCAGAGAGAGAAGTAGGGGAGTGACCTCAGAAGGAGGATGAGACCCAGGAGGGTGCTGTGTAGACAAAGCCAAGGCTAGGGGAGATGAGCTGAGAGAGGGAGTGGTCTAGGGCCTGACCTCTTTGCCGCTTAATGCCAGGGGCCTTACTGCCTGGGTCAGGCCACCCCAGAAGTGATGGGCCATTGTCCTTGCTTGTTAATAAATGGACAAAGCAGATTAATTTCTGCCCAACACCCACTGCTTGCTAGAGACAGGCTCTCAAAATAGGAAGATCCATGGAAGAAAACAGTGAAAGTTCAGCAGCATTTGTGGCAGCTTTTATGAGTTGGGTCCATGGCATTTAAGGAAGCAGCAGGAGAAGATTCCCAGGGCATCAGGGAAACAGTTGGATCTCAGGTGATGTCAGGAGATCTTGGTCAGAGCTAGGACTTAAGAAAATTCAGGTAACCCTGCTCAGGTATTAGGGAGCTGGGACATACTGGGGGCATTGGTGAGGGGCTGCAGGGGCAGCGCCTATCCTTGGGGTCAGAATAAGGAGCCTGGACTTCCTTCAGTCGGTGAGGGGAGGCCCTCAGCACTTGTGCTCTGGGTGCGGAGGGGATTCAGTGCTCTGCAGGGTCTAAGCTGGACAGGAAACGCCAGACTAAGAAAGAGGTTAGGATGACAGAAATAGTCAGCGGATAGACTGGAAAAGACGAGGCTGCAAGCTGGGTAATGGGATCGGTTGGGATCGTCTTTCTTCCTGTTACGGTGGGGAAGCAGGCTGGGAAAAAGAAGTTCGTTTGGATAAATTAGGTCTGAATAGAATATGGGATCCACAGGCTATGGGATCCACAGGCAGCGGGGGCTCAGGAGGGACGTGCTGACTGGGGAGAGGGGTGGAGAGTAAATACGGACCCAGAGGAGAGGAGAGCCACATTTGCCATTTAGGGGAGGAAGAGAAGCCTGAGTAGACTGGGGACAAGCCCTCTGCCGAGGAGCTCTCCCGCCGCCTGGGCTGGGGGTGAACTTAAATCGCAGCCATGGGTGTTCACTGAGACCCTGGGGGAGAGGTCGAAAGTGGGGAGTCCCGGCTCCCATTACCTCTCTCCCCCTCCCCCATGCAGCCCCCACCATGGGCAATGCGCAGGAGCGGCCCTCAGAAACCATCGACCGGGAGCGGAAACGCCTGGTGGAGACGCTGCAGGCGGACTCGGGGCTGCTGCTGGATGCGCTGCTGGCGCGGGGCGTGCTCACCGGGCCCGAGTACGAGGCGCTGGACGCGCTGCCGGATGCCGAGCGCAGGGTGCGCCGCCTGCTGCTGCTGGTGCAGAGCAAGGGCGAGGCCGCCTGTCAGGAGCTGCTGCACTGCGCGCAGCGGACCACGCGGACGCCCGACCCCGCCTGGGACTGGCAGCACGTGGGCACGGGTGAGCGCACAGAGGCGGGGTCTGAGCCAGAGCGCGGGGCGTGGCGTAAAGGGGTAGAGTGGGAAACCGAGAAGTAGTCTCCCCCACCCACAAGGGTGTGTGTGTGTGGGGGGGGGATACCGCAGAGGCAGAAAATGAGCCTCAGATACTCCCACCTCCGCCCCAGGCTACCGGGAACGCAGCTACGACACTTCATGCCCTGGCCACTGGACACCTGAGGCACCTGGCTTGAGAATCACTTGCCCCGAACTGCCCATTGCTTCAGACTGCGACGAGGCTGGGGTTCCTGGGGGCTCAGAGACAGCGCAATCCGGAACGCCCGAGGAACTCAATCCGGAGCTGGAAGCTGGGGCCTCTGAAGAGGCTGAGCTGGATGTGGAACCAGAACCAGAGGCAGAGGCAGAACCCGAACCTGAACTGGAGCGGGAACCCGAACCCGAGCTGGAGCCCGAGCCCGACTTCGAGGCTGGTGATGAGTCTGAAGGTGTGAGGCTACCCAAACCCAGTGCGGGATTGGCGGGAGCGTGGGCCCCACATGACCGACCACTTTTTTCTTTGTCACCTCTAGATTCCTGAATGCCGGAGGAACACTGACAGGCCGCCCCTGCCCAAGCCGCGTAGGACCTGGGATCCTGCCCTGACATGTGTTGGGAGTTGCCACCAAGTCTCCACCTGACCCAGTACCACTAGAAGTGAATAAACTCTAGAGGGTCAGCCTGGGCTGTGTGACTTTGGCTTTTTGCCCAGGAACCAGGGTGTGGGTCCATGCCCTTGAGGTTCAGCAACCTGGGCAGCCTCATGCCCCACTGTCCAGTTCTTAGCCCCATTTCATCCTCAGTAGCCCAAGCCACACCCCCCTGGAGCCCTCAGTCCCAGGCCCCTAGTGTGACAAGGGCCAGACCCCTGGGCACTGCCCCACGGTTCTTTTCCCCTCATGAACCAGTTGCGGGGGGTGGGGGCTGTGTAGTTACCTGCCCCCCACTTCATGGAAGTCCTTGGGCCTGGTACAGGGAAGGGAGACTTCTCTCCACTTAGGGCAGGCTAGAGCTCAAAGCCTTGAGAAGTGAGATTAGGAGAGAGGAAGAGGAAAGGATCTTGGGTAGACAGAGCCCACACGCTTCATTTTAATTGTTTTAATTGTCTGGCTTCTCTCTGGACTGGGGACTCAGGGAGGGTTCTGACCAGTAACTGGCACACAGAAGGTGCTCTACACACATTCACTGACTAGATGAATAAGGACTTTCCAGTTGCATTTCTGAGTTTTACAGATGAGAAAACCAAGGGCAAGGGTGAGAGTGGGAATGCGTCAGCATCACACAGCTGAGTCTGAGGTGAAACCAGAAGCAACAACCACCTCTACACCATCTTGATTTGGGGGAGGGGTGGCTCAAGACTTGGGACAACAGCTAGGGGCCTGCCCCTCAGTCTCAAATGTGCCTGTTGCCAGCCTATGCCACCCTCGGCCAGAGGCCAGCTGTGAGGGTGTGGGCAAAGACACAGGAACAGCACAGGCCAATGGAGGGGCTGGGAGCTGGGGGCAAGGCCAAGTGAGCTCTTGGGCTTGACTCACAAGGCCTAAAGGACTGTGTGTGTGTGTGTGTGTGAGAGAGACAGAGAGACAGAGAGGAGAGTGGGGCTAGGAACAGTTGGTGCCTTCCAGAGGAGCACTGTTCCCTCCACCACACCTTCAGAAGCTGCTGCCTCCCAGCCCCAGGAAGCAGAGCACATAAATAGGGTATAAATACATGAGCAGTGGGAGAGGCAAAATGCCAGAAAGCACACCCCAGCCCAGCTGGGTCTCTACCACCAGGACCCCTGGCCCTTGAGCCTGTGTGAAAGCCAGACCCTCATGCTCAGGCAGTCACCCTAGGAGAAGGGAGATCCCCACCAGGACCCAGTGAGAGGTAGAAAGCGTGAAAGCTGAAGGAGCACCGAGGGGCCAGGTGGGGGAAGGGAGACACTGGAGTATGCAGACACCCAAAGCCATCTCATGCAAGAACAAGTTTCTACTCCCAAACCGCCCCCCATCCCCATCATGCTCAGCCTCCCTCCTGCCCCCAGGCTTCCCCTCTGCTCAACAGAGAGCTGGACGTAGGAGGGCAGACTCAGTTTGCTTGACACGCTACTACCAGTCCCTAGGCCCCAGAGAGGCGAGCGAAGGACACAAAGGCTCTGATGTTGCCACTCCTACCTCCTGGGATGCTCCTGCCCTCCCAGTTCACCAAGAAACACCCAGGCCATGGAAGCACAGAACAGTCATCTTCATGTTCTGAGAGCTGATCTGGAGCCCTCTGTCCACTGCCTCCGGCTGTAACCCTCAGCCGGCCTCAGTCAGGCAGCAGGCGGCCCAGTTCTGCCTCATCCAGCCGGTTAGTGGCCATGATGTGCTCCAGCTGTTGCCGGTAGCGTGCCAAGTCTTGCATGAAGTGGGGCACCCGGGTATTGTCCAGCACCCCATGGGGCCGCAGGTGGTCTACATCCTCATAGGACACCTGCAGGAAGGAAGCTGGTCTTCAGGGGGAGCCAGAGGTAGCCATGGCTTTCAGGTAGCTGGTCACTGCTCTCTATCAGTGTCTCATTGCCATCTGCTCCTCCAGATCCACTCCCAATGTCATACACTCTGAGGCTTAGTCCTAGGTGTGTTTGCTCTCCTAACCCGAACCCAGCTTCTTCCCTCACCTCCAAAACTAGGTATCTAACTGCCTCCTGAACACCTTTCCCGCGATCTCCCTCAGGCACCTCAGACCCCACACCCAATGCTGAATGCCTGGGTGCCAGCTTATGACAGCCCTAGCGGCCTCACAGTTCCCTAGGTCAGCTTGAGGGAAGGGACCTGGAATGTCACCCTCCAACTCAGGGTGGCCACTGGGCTGGAGGAATTCCACTCTCTGAAGAGCTTCCCCTAGCTTGCTCCTCCCACTGCATGGCCACCGGAGACTAGACTGCCGTAAGTTCCACAGGAGTGACTGGAAAGGCAGCTTCCTCCTCCCACTGCACTCCCTTCTCTAGGCCTCTCTCTCCATTCCACCTTCCACTGAACATCCACAGGGAGCCTTGTAAAGCAAAAGTGACATTTCTGAAAGCTCTCCTGATTCTTTATTGCTTCAGGCGAAATTCACCTTCCTTAGCCTGGCACAGATACCCAGAGCCAGACTTGGTGTCTGGCGGTTTCTCCAGCCTCCTCCCCGCAACCTTCCTGACTGCTCCCCTGGCCTGAATGCTCGTCTCCTTTGAGGTGTGGTATCTACACATATACCTGCAGCCTAGGTCAAGTACTCTTTGTTCACCTCCCCCCAGGTCTCCCCACCAAAGAAGCCTGGCCCCTAATCCTCAGTTGGGCAGCCATCAGAGGCTCAGGGAACACTGCAGGGACGAGGAGAGCTGGCTGGGATCCCTAGAGGTCCGTGGCCCCTCACCTTGCCCAGTGAGGTCAGCAGCGGGAAATCGATGGTCTGGCGGTGCCGCAGAATGCGCACGATGCCATCCAGGTACACCTGATCCTTGCTGAAGCAGCCTGTGGGCGCAAGAGGGTTTGTGAGCCCCTAGGCCGGAGGCCTGCCCGCCCCCAGGCCCGGCTCAGGGCGTCCTGCACCCCCAGGCCTCCTTCAGGGCACCCCACCCCAACACCGCGCGGGCGCCCACCGGGCAGAGAGGTGTCAGTCTGGCCGCGCTTGGCGCGCACGCAGTACTCCCAGCGCACGTCAGCGTCCTGCACGTAGCGCGCCAGGTCCTGGAAGAGCTGGCGGAAGGACATGCGCGAGGCGCGGTGGATGGTGTAGTAGAGCAGGGCGGCGCGCCACAGGAAGGGCTGCTTGCGGAACAACACGCTGTGCAGGCTGGCCAAGCCCTCCTCCGTGGGGTTCGCTGGCCGCAGTCCGTACTGCAGCCGGCCCTCGGCGCTGTGCCACGGCTGCTGCGCGTTGTTCACGCCCCGCAGGTAGTGAGTGCCTAAGGAGAAAGGCGCCACTGGGTAGGTCATCCTAGGGGACCAGCCTGTGGGGCCACGACCTGCTACCTCCTACAGAAGCTCTAGCCGGTGACAGCGAAGGTGACTCATGGTGACTCACGCGTACTCTAGCCCCTAAATTCAGCCTCTCACGCAAATTCTTGCCCCCAACCCCCGCCCCAAATGCATACTCACCCAACCCCAGGCAGTGGGAAGACCCTCCTCAGATGAACTCACACCCAAGGGCTTAGAGTCCCACACACAAGAATCCTTCCCCATCCATCCAGGGCTACACACACAAGCAACTCTCCCAAACCCACACTGCCCCCCACGCCCCTCAGAGAGGGGCAGGAACTCCCAAACCACCGCAGCCCCACATCCCCAAAAGCCCGTATCACTTTGACAGTCATGCTGATGATCCCAGTGAAAAACATCTTTTGCCGAGAGCTACAGGATTCTTAAATAGGAGAAACAGACAGAAAGGAAATTCCCGTCCCATGCTCTCCTTTTCAGCTCAACTCTCCTCCTAAAACCTGGCTTTACGTCCTCAACTAATTCCATTCCTAGTATCTGGCCTTCCACCCACCCTGGAGGGCCTCCATGTTGGCTGGGCTAGTGGGACCCTCAGGGTACTCCCTCTGGCCTGTCCGGGCCTCAGCAGCCTTGTCCCCACTGTCAAGGGAAATCAGAGAGGAAGTAGAGATGTAGAGGAAGAGATACCCAAAAGGAGCAAGAGATGAGGGTGAGCCCAGATAGTGGGCAGGCATGTTCTGGCCTACCTCTGTGAGCCAGAGGGAGGAGGTAGCTGCTCACGAAGGGAAAGGGCCCGTCCTCCGGAAGGAAGGGGAAGAAAGAGAGGGGGGTGGGGTTACTGGGGCCCCTTGCTGCCCCCCACCCTGTCCCAACCCCCCTCATCCTACCCACCCACCCACCTACCCACACCCTGACCTATCTCGTGCCGCAGCATGCCCTCCAGCCAGTACTGGCGGGCTCCCGTCAGGTTGATGGCCAGTGTTGGTCGGCTGTTCTCCACCATCATCACTGCCTGGGACAGCAGGTCTTCACTCAGCTGCACCACAACCTGCAGGTGGTAGTGAACCTAAGCCATGGCCACCAGCCCTGAGACCAGGATGCAGGTGGACCCACTGATGCCACAGGGCAGCCAGGCCACACACCCTTCACCACCTCTGCTCAGAGCCAGCTCCCACCTTATTAGAACAGGGACGGGGGCTTGCCTGGGATCCCAAGCTGGCCAGGTGTGGAGCTGGGCCTGGCCGCCTGGTTTGGGGCACAGAGAAGAGGGCCTCGAAGGCAGGGCTAGCTCACCTCCCCAACGCAGCCCTCCTTCTGCATGTATTTGCGAACAATGGACCAGATCTGGCACTTGGTCAGCAGCTGGCCCCCCGTTGCAGCTTCGAAGTGTTCATAGGTACCAAACTTCTCCAGGACAGCCTCAATGATGCCAACTGCCTGCACAGAGGGTTGTGGTGGCTGGTCAGACCAGGCCTCTTGGGTGATCAGGACCAGGACGAGGCAGGCAGGCTGGACTGACCTGATGGATGAACTGTCCAGAAGCCTCACAGTACTTCTCCAGCACAGCCGTGGGCATGGGCTCCTGGTACTCGAACTGTGGGTTGTAGGTGTAGTGGGACTGGAAGAACTTGTCCCGCTCTCGGTCCATATTGGTTGGCCTCAAGGCCACCAACATGCAAGGGCTCTTGCTGGCACCACGGCCTGCATCCTTTCGAGTCTTAGCAATGTGAGGCAGGGAGGCTGCAGGCCGCAGGGTTCCCCCACCTGGGTCCCGTCCCCGTCCAGGTGGGGCCCGACCCTGGGTGCCACCCCCCCGCCGGCCAGTACTATTTACAGTATAGGTGCTCTCACTGCGACGCATGTGGCCACGGAGGCCCAAGTGCAGCTCTGAGTAGGGCTGCAGCTCAGGCCGGGGCCGCAGGGCTGAGGGGATTGACAGAGCCAGGGGCAAGGCCAGGGACTGAGGCCAGGGGTACAGCAGTGTCCCATCTCGGTCTGAGGGCTTCAGTCTATGGCCCAAGGATGAGGGACTGGCTGGTGGGCTGGGGGGTGCCTGTTCATACACCTGAGCCCCTGAGTCCAGCACCATTCTGTCCTGGGGGTCACATCCAGCCGGGTCACTCCAACTCCCCACACTGTCGACTTCTGGGGACACAGAAGGGCATGTGGAGGCCAGTATGAGTGGGTGTGGCCTGAGCACCAACAGGCCTTGTGCTCCACAATGTCCTGGCTGGGTGCTTAGTGGGTTCGGAGCCTGCCACCAGGGATCTGGGTAGCTGCCCCTTCATCCCCATTCCCTCCACCAGGCTCACCCAAGGAAGCTGGACTTGGGGGAAAAGGAGGCAGAATTGATACACTCACCTAGATGGTGGTACTGGAACCCCTTAGCCTGTGAGCTGCTGAAAGTGAGGCCTGAGCCCCTTCATGACTTTAATCCCTGTGCTCAGCACCCACCCAGACTGGGAGCTGGTATAGTGTAGCCCCAGCTGCTGGGAGGATGGCTGAGGGAGCCTCACTTCCTTTAACCTGCCTTCCACCTATTGCATTTTTTCAGTCTCATCCCTCCCCTCCCACCTGGCCCCACCACCTCCACCAGCCCAGTTGGCCTCAGTCAGGTTGAGTGCCTGCATGCCCCTTGCTTATGATCTGGAATGGTCTCTCTCGCCTCTGGGTCATATGTTCAAATCCCAGTTAGAATTAGCTTTGTGGGGAGCAGAGGGAGACTTCAGCAAATTCAAGCCAATCCTTGGTCTGTCTCCTATCAGAGGCCTCTTTCTAATGGTCATCCACGGCCGGTGTTGGCATGTTCACCCCTTGTACTGGGCTCAGAACAATCCAGTCTCTCCCCCGAGACTGACTGTGAGGCTCCAGATTCTGAACTCCTTTGCCTGTTCAGGGACACAATTCCAGTATTTCTCCAACATCATCAATCTCTTCCTCTCTACTGTATTCTTGCCAACAGCATAAACACATACTGTTTTTTCTGTCTTAAAAATACAAACCAAACCCTCACTTGACCCCACACTCCTCTAGCCCCACCGCATCTCCCAGCAGCTGCTCTCTGTTGCAGCACAACACCCATCTGTATGCAGTCTGATTCCTTCTTTTCCTGTTTTCTCTTATGTTTCACTCCAATTAGGCTTCTGTCCCCACTCTCCTTTGAAACTGATCTGACCAAGATCATCAATGATCTTCATATTGATCGGTGCACTTGACATCATTAATCATTTCATTTTAGAAACATGTTCTCCACTTGGCTTCTCCAGCACACTCAAATATATTCTCCTACCTCACTGGCTGTTAGTTCTTGGTCTTTCTCACTCATCATTCCTGTCTTCCTGATCTTTTAAAATTGTAATGCTGGGGCGCCTGGGTGGCTCAGTGGGTTAAGCCGCTGCCTTCGGCTCAGGTCATGATCTCAGGGTCCTGGGATCGAGCCCCGCATCGGGCTCTCTGCTCAGCAGGGAGCCTGCTTCCTCCTCTCTCTCTACCTGCCTCTCTGCCTGCTTGTGATCTCTCTCTGTCAAATAAATAAATAAATAAAATCTTTAAAATTCATTTCTAAAAAAAAATAAAATAAAAAATAAAATTGTAATGCTTCAGGACTTGGAAATTCCTATAGAAACTTCTCTCTTTCTTTTTTTTTTTTTTTATTTGACGGAGAGAGAGATCACAAGTAGGCAGAGAGGCAGGCAGAGAGAGAGGAAGGGAAGCAGGCTCCCTGCTGAGCAGATAGCCCGATGTGGGGCTCGATCCCAGGACTCCGGGATCATGACCTGAGCTGAAGGCAGAAGCTTTAACCCACTGAGCCACCCAGGCGCCCCTTCTCTCCTTCTTTTATGCTTACTCCCAGGGTGATCTCATCCAATTTCATGGTTTTAAGTACACCACTCCAGACTTCTATAAACCTCCAGCCGGTGTTGCCAGTTCTCAGTTCAACATCTTTACTTGAATGTACAACAGGCATCTCAAACTGAATATGTCTCCTATCTGGAATGCTTCCCCCCAGATAACCGCAGGGCTCACTCTCCCATTTTCCTTAGATTTCTTCACAAAGATGTTATCAGACAAGTCTCCCTAACACACTCTCTTTAAAATAGTAAACCTCCTCTTTCCTCCCCACCACAATCTTCTCTTCTCCATATTATTGGTTTCTAAAGCAGTTATCACCACATGAAGTACAGTATATGTCATTATTAGTTATCTGTTTTCTCCTTTTGAATGTTCACAGCTGTGTCCCCAGAACCCTGAACAGTACCCGATCCAGAGCAGTTGCTCAATAAATAGATGAACCCAAGAGCACTTTTCCTTCTCAGAACTGGAATCATTCCTTTCACGCACTATGTTTCCCTATCAATTTCTGATCCCCTACCCCACCTCTCTTCCCTCTGCCTAGTGACCAGCAGTTTGAAAAGATTTCAGGCCTCAGACTTCACTCTTCTCAACTTTTCTGGACTCCTCACTGGTCTCTGGGTCTCTACCTCCATCCCCGCCCCCTCCCTTCTTTCATTCGACCTACCTCTTCGCAATTACCAAGAATACGCCTGTTTCTTTCACGTCTCAGGTTCTTTTGCCAAGAATGCCCTCCCAATTGCCTCCCTGTAGCAAACTCCTAACCATTCCTAAGGGCTCGGTTTAGGTCTCACCTCCTCCAGGAAGCCTTCCTGGCGTCTTGGAGGTTCCCAGTGTCTAGGAGGCTTCTTTACCACCCTAAGCTGTCACTGTCGGAGCCTAGATCCGTGTCCCCTAGATCCGTCTACCCCCTTAACTCCCTCAGGGCAGGGACGAATCTGATTAACCCCCGTGTCCCAAGCACCCAGCACTACATGCGGAATGAATGAAAGATGCAAGAGCCCAGACACAAGGTGGAGTCTAGTGACAAATGAGAGGGTGTGGCCTACGCCAATAGAAAAACTCCCAGAGAGGAAAACGTAAAAGAGGAGCCAATGGGGGGGGAGAGGAGGGGCGTGACCTGCAGCCAATAAGTGGCGGAGGATGGAGCAAAGGGCGTGACCAATGGGGGGCGGAGCCAGAGGACAATGGAGGGGGGGGGTCCCTGGTTAGGTGAGTAGGGGTCGTGTCGCGCGCCTTCGTGGCCTCTCGGGGGTGGGGGGGTTCTGTCCGCGTACCGCGCCCCCACCTGTTCTCTCCTCTTCTCGCCGCCGCCGTTCCCGCTCCGCAACACCAGTCGCAGACAGCCCAGCCCGCGGGAGCGACCGCTGGTGACGCACGCACTCGGGCGCGCGCACGCTCACGGGAAGGCGCGCCTATTCACGTCAAATTCGGCGGCGGCGCGCACCCGAGAACAAAGCTGGGGGTGGGGCCAGGCAGAGCCGAGGGGGTGGTGTCCGCACCAAGTCACGCCCCTGGGCGTGGCGTTATCTTAAGCCCGCCCCTTCCACGAGAACCCCTCGGGTTTCAGCGCTTCACGTTCTACTCAGCCTTCAGAGTCAGGGCCTCGACACGAGCTCACTGCCGTGGCGCGGATAGGTGGGGCTGTAGTCCACCTATGGCAGCAGAAGCGCGGGTACTTGCGAACGCAGTCCATACCGGGCTGATGTCAGGATAGGTGAGGTACAGCCCATATATCAGGACTGGAGCCAGGATACCTTAGGCGTTTCACTGAGAGTGAACCCCCTAATCATCGCACTTTTATTTTATACCCCCTTCTCCAATACACAATTCAGGCGTCTGGGGGCCATCCCTGTATCCGGAGGGCAGCTGGGCGTCAGGCACAGGGCCCCGAGGGAAGGCAAGAGGACAGCGCAGGAGTAGGTGCTGGGACGAGGCTGAAGAGTGCGCGGCGACCGGCAGAGGGCGAGGGCTGAGGGCCGGCCTGCAAGGAACTGAGTGCGGCCAGGCGCTGCTCCCGCGACACGTCCCCGCGCAGGTCCAAGAGGGCAGAGATATGGTCCTCGCTACGGGAACACCACAGAGGTGTGTGTCAGCTCCGTCCCACTCCGCCCGAATCCATCCTCCCTCGCCCCCCCCCCGCCCCAACCAGAACCAGTCTTCGCACCTCACGTCGGGAAATTTTTGTCGTAGACCCGCCACCTCGAGGCCAAGCAGCATGGGGTCGCGGAGGTTCAACAGATCCCGCAGAGCGAGGAGCACTGGTGCGCACTGAACACTCTCCTCCAGGCCCTGGGCACCGCAGAGTAGGTCTCACGCCCGCCCTGGACCTCCACCTAACCACTGAGACTCCCGCCCATCTTCTCGCCTAACGAACTCTCACCAAACCAAGGAAAAGCTCCCGAAGCTGGGCCGCGTCGTGCTGCAGGCGCTCGGCCACCTGGGTCCTCTCGTGGGCTCCTCGGCACACTAGGCGGCCCTGCATCAGCGCACGTAGGTACTGCAGTACCACCATACGTTCCGCCTCGGCCAGGAGAAGCTGCGGAGAGCGCAGTGGATTCAGCACGCCTTTCCCATGAGCGCTTCCCTACTCCCCAGCCTTTCCCTTAAACGCACCTGGGCCGCAGGATTCCGCACGCGCCTAAACTCCTGGCAAAAGCGCGCTGTCCGCTCGCACACATCATCCAGTAGCTCTGGGCTCGACAGCCACCGGCGTGAGGGCAGAGCCGCGAACAGGGGCTGTGAGTGGTGGCAGAAACGGGGTTGAAAGAACGATCCAGACCTAGCATTCCCCCTGCAAAGACGCACATCCAAATATGCTGTATCTCCTCCCCAACCCGCATCCCCACTTGAAGCCTTACTTGGAGCTCTGCCAGCAGCGCCTCCAAAACCAGGCGGCAGATCCTCCTCTGTAACTCGTCCAGCGCTGTCTCCACCGGAGCCAAAGCTCCCGAAGCCGCCCCTTCGGGCTGCAGGCCTGACACGGAGGAGCTGGACCGACCAAAAGTTAAGGCTTCAGGACCAAGGCCAAGGCCCTCGCGGCCCTCGGTTGTCTAGCTACTCTGTCGCCACCTAGTGGTGCAAGTGTGTGGCGCTAGGGGGCCAGAATGGCGGCTCTCTACTTCTGAAGATCTGGGGCTCCCACCAAGGAGCTGTGGACTCGGGCATCTAGAAGGAACCCAATCAGACCTGCCCCTGGTTTGCAGTGAGACTTCGAGCAAATCATGCCTTTTGGTTTCTGTCTAGGTAAGGAAAGAGTTTAATCCCAGTCAGGAGGGATTCAAACTCATCATTAACTTGTTTGTTCTCTCTGTCCCCCACCCCAAAGAACATAAGACCCAAGAGGAAGGGAATTTTTTTCTGTTTTGTTCACAACTGTAACCTCAGACATTATGTGGCACAGAGTAGGGCCTTGATGAGTATGTGTTGGATATATGAATGAACGAATAATTGATACTGGCAGGCGGGCACTGTGGTAGGTACTTCACATCTGTCATAGGATTCCCAAAATGTACCATTATTACCCAACGTAATACTGATGAGAAAAACAAGATTCAGGGGCGCCTGGGTGGCTCGGTGGGTTAAAGCCTCTGCCTTTGGCTCAGGTCCTGGTCCCAGGGTCCTGGGATCGAGCCCCGCATGAGGCTCTCTGCTCAGCAGGGAGCCTGCTTCCCCCTCTCTCTGTCTCTGCCTGCCTCTCTGCCTACTTGTGATCTCTGTCAAATAAATAAATAAAATCTTAAAAAAAAAAAACAAGATTCAGAAAGATCAGGTAACTCATCCAAAGTCACACAGTTAGCAATCAGTAGAACTAGGATGGGATTCCCAGGGCTATGTGAGTCTAAAATTTCTGATGACCTAGTGTGGACTGGGTCCATACCTAACTGGGGTTCAGACAGGGGTTCGGCGGGGGGTGTCTGGTACCTGAGTGCTGACTGGTGGTTGAGGGTGGCCAGTAGGTAGGGCACGTAATGAGGAGCTGTTGCTTCCCCACTGGCGTGGTCTCGAGAGAATCGGATCAGAGCATCACTAAAGCTGCAAAGGGCAGAGGTAGTGCCTGTACCTGTCACTCTGGAGCCCCCACAACCTAAGTCCCTGCTACTTCAGCCCCACCTCAAAGAAACCCAAGAGCCTGTTTTGAAGACGCCCTTTCCTCCTAGTGTGTCTAATTCACTCAGATCCCCTTTGGGCTGCCCCAGGAGCAGGGCTAGGGGTTGGATGTGGGTCAGTGCCTTGGCAGACCTCCTCAGGAATGTGCCCAGTTCTGATAGTGCCATGCCATGCACCCGCTGCTGCAGTGACTCGCTGACCAGGCTGGTCACGCGAATGTTCTCTTCCAGGATCTACAGGCAGAAATGGGTGGCCATCAGCAGAGTCCTAGCCCTGCTCCCTGCCCCCCTTTCTCTATGGGGGCTTCCTACCTGTCTGGCCTTTTCCCACCCACCTGCAACACTATGGCTGGCATAGGTGAGTGGTAGAAGCCAGAAGAGTCTGTGCCAGGTTCCTGCTCTCGGTTCCACTCAGCTACCTCCTCGTCCAGTGCCCTCTGCAGCCACTGGGTCACATTTGCCTGGAGGAAGGGGTGAAGAGGGCCAGGATGTAGCAGGGCACTGATCCTGCTTGAGACGGGTAGACATTTGACTCTACAGATACAGGCCCACAGCTGGTGGCAGAGCTTCTCTGTACCTGGGCCCCAACTACTCACCTGGATTTGGGCCACAAATGTTGCCTCCAGCTGTTCAATGTTCTCCAGGGTCAGGAGGGGCTCCAGCTGAGATACGTCAGCCTCAGGCCCCAACTCTAGGCTCCCCATCATCTCTGGCCTGCAGATGGGTAGCCCAGGGTCACTCTGAGCCCCCAGCCTCTGATCCACCCACTTCCCATTGCCCCAAGGGGACAGACTGACCCCAGGTACACATGCAGTGCCCAGTGCAGCAAGGTGAAGGCATCAGCAGCTCCTAGTCCAGGCCCTTCCAGGAGTTGCTGCAGGCAGCGGCGGAGTCCACTGTGCAGGGTGTGGGCCCACAGCTGGACCACTTTGTAGTGTGGTGGGCAGCAGGGTGCTACTAGTGCTTCAGCTATGGCCAACTCAGCTGGTAAAGCCACCCGCAGGGCTTCCAGCCACCCTGCCAGGGCCCCCGGCTCAGGAAGAAGAGGTGTCCCAAAGTGGGTCCTCTCCAGGCCCTCCTGTAAGGCCTGCAGACAGCGCTGCCGCCAGTCCCTGGGGGCCAGCTCCAGGGAGGCCATGTACCCAGCGTCCACCTCCGCCACACGCACAGCAGCCACCAGCAAGGCTGGGTCCTCCCGTGCCAGCTGCCCCGCGGCCCCTGCAGCTGCTTCCACCGCCCGGCCGAGAGCCTCAGCCAGAGGGCCCAGCCCCTCAAAGACTGGCAACTCCAGGCCCTCCAGAGGGGCCCATGTCTCTTCTTGTAGCTGCTCCAGCTCCCGAAGACACACATATGCCTCCAAGAGCCGCTGGGTAGCAATCAGGGTCTGCGTGTGGGCCACGGCAGCTGGCACTAAGCACGGAGAAGATGAAACTGTCCTGAGTCTCAAACCTCCTACCTGTACAAGGGGTACGGCAGGGGATGCTCAGGCCCTAGGGCTGGAGTGATGTGTAAAATGTTTAATAAGCAGTACAGCAGAGCACTGACCAATCTGAAAGGACCCAGGGAAGGGCCTAGAGACCTGGTGGGCCAAGTGTAAATTTTTGAGCTGATGGAACACGAGAAAGTCAGGGATCCTGGAGGCAAGACAGTGAGGAATTCGTGGGGCCATGCTAGCGGCTATTTACCCTGTTAAGGAATTATTTCAATAAATTAGCAACCAGGGTGGTCAGAGCCACTTGGCTGAGTCTCAGTCCTGATTCAGACAACTCATGCTTGAGAATCCCAGAATCCCAATTTGTATCCTGCTTCATATGCCATTTGAAACCTGAATTACTCTCTGGAAGGTCCCTGCAATCTCCCACTGGTGCCCCAGCCCCTCGATCAGCGATGGGGGTTTAGTAACTAACGGTTGGGCGGCTGAGGCCCAGGACCCCTGAACACTTACCTGCCCATAGCCGGGGCAGCAGCTGAGACAGGACCTGCAGCCGCTTGTGCTGTGCAACCTGTTCCCGCAGCGGTTTCAGGGTCTGTGTGGTCTCTGCCATACCCTGTAGCAACCCATGGGCCTGGCCCAGGGCCTCACGAGCTCCCTGCACGGCCTCAGAAGCCTGGGCCAGCTGCCACACGCCAGTCTTCACGCCCTCCAGGTAGGACTGCACCACTGACTATGGGAGGGAGGCAGCCAGTGAGGCCTGGCAGTCCCACAGCACATCGCCAGCACTCCTTTCCCGACCGATGCCCACCTTGATCCGTGCTTCCAGGGAACAGGTACGCTGAACCTCACGGCTGCGGTACTGGCCCAGTCTGGCCAGCTGCTCTGGCCGGTAGAAGATACCCGAGGCCCACTTGAGTGCTGCTCCTCGGGCAAGCTGCTCCGCCCTCTCCTGCTCTGGCCACTCAGGCCCTGGGCAGGAAGAGCCTGGGCAGCCTCGTCAGTTGGGCAGGGCCTACAGGAAGTGGCCTGAACCTGCTCCCCTTCCTACTTCTCAGCCTGTCCCCTAGGGCAGTCCGATCCATTCCTCCTGCTGCCCTGCAGAGCTCCAGCCAGACCGGGCAAGGGGGATCCAACCCCCCCATTCCCATCTTTCTTGCCACGATCCCTCCCTTAGCCCACCGAGAAGGGCTCATACCGGGGAGAAGTGAGGGCTGCATTTCATCCTTGGTTGCTGAGTCCATGGCAGTCCCTGGAGGAGCCGAAGATGAGGTAGGAGTGGGGGCAAGAGTCTGGGTTCAAGCAGACGGAATGGATGCTCCTGTGAGCTGTGGCCTCAGTCTAGGGCCCTCTGAGAAGGAGGAGGGGTGTTCTTGGAGGGTTCTTGCCCAATCCCCTCAGGAAATGAGAAGGAGGTGAGTGTGATGGGGAGACTGGGTTTCTTAGTTATTCCCCTGTGGACGCCAAGTGAGGGAGGGTAGGCACAGGCCTCTGCTGGCCCCCGCTGCTGCTCTGAATTGCAGAGGATGGTTCGGTATGGAACTCACCAGACTTGACTAGGCATCCGGTTCTTTCTCCTCTGAAGACAGTCTTGGCCTTGAGGATGTCCCTCTCCCCCAGTCTTCAGGGCAGAACTGGGTGTTCTCTTCCCCGGCTCACGAGGCCTGGGTAGTTCCAGCCCACACCTCAGCACGCAGCAGACTTCTCCCCAAGGAAGCCTCTGTACCACCTCCCTGCCCAGGAGCACCCTCCTCTGTCCAAGGCCCCTCCTTCCCCAAGGCCAAATGCTGGAAAGGAAGGAAGCTGAGCCTCTGGCCCTTTATTCCCAACAGGAAAGTGCATCTGCATTGTGGAAAGGGCTGGACGCCACTTCCTTGGGGGGAGGGGGCATACTCCCTGTGAAACCTGAGTCCTGCCCAATCCATCCAGGACTTTTTGGTGCTCAGGACACAGACGTGAACTAGATGGCCCCAACTTGGGGTGGAGAACAGGGTATGCAAATATGGGTGCAGACAACATCACAGTGGGAAAACTGTGTTGATGGCTCTTCAGAAGAGGGTATGCACCTCTGCAGAGAGGTGAGAGGCCACAGGCTGTTGTGAGGAAGGTGTGTGGTGGGTGATGATGAGAGAGCTATGAAAGCTGTGTTTGTCTTGAGAGTTAGAGAGGGCCATGGAGAGGACCACCGGCTAGTACTAATATAGTGGACCCCGGTTACCACCCAAATCCACCCTTCAGGACAACACCACTTGTTCCCCTAGCCGCCAGTAGTGTAGGTTGCTGAGATGTCACAGCCGAGTCCCTCACTTGAAGTTAGGGCACAAAGGCCTGGTAACCTTGCCTGGACATGGACCACCTTGGAAGGGCCACCCCAGTTTCAGTGCTGCTAATAGGATGGCCCGAGGCCTCGATTATAACTGTATCATGGTTTAATTCCCCCTTCTGCCCAATTTTGCATGTCTTACTTCCTCACAAGGGAGGATCCTCAATAAACTTCCCTGCGGGCAGATCCCTGTCTCAAAGACAGCTTCACAGAGATCTTGACCTAAAATAAATGACAAATAATGATGTTATCAAACATAACAACATGGTACTAGCCAACACATGATCCTTCCTACCTTCCAGGAACTGCTCTAAGTGCTTTACATATATGTACACATATGAGCATATTTGCCTTGGTGGGAAAATGGTTATAACTCCCTGGTCTCTGAGCACTGCAGTATGGAGACAAGAGAAAGATGAGGCTGGGATCAGGGATGGGGAATGGGAATGGAGACAAGTGAGCAAGCTAGATGGAGTTAGTGCTTGCTGTTTTGGCAGGAAGTGAGGGACACTAATAGGGTCAGTAAACCCAAGACACTGGGACAGCTTCTAGGAGCAGGTTTGGGGAAATACATTGGCCTCATCAGGCAGCGTGGTCTCCTCTTCTGAAATGGGGACAGGCTGGGCAGCCAGGAAGGTTGTTGTGGCTCTCCCTTTACTACTGCCGGGGCTGTCCACTGACTCCCTCCATCTCCCTCTGCATTCTGTCTTCTCGCCCGGGATCCATGGATTGTTTTCGTCCTCTTCGGCGGTTGGACATTTGCTGATGGTCCCCGAAGTTTTGCTGCCGAGTCCGCAGAAAGGAATTGCGCCGGGTTCCCCGGAAGAGCGCGGAGCGGAAGCGGAAACGGCGACGCTGGCGCCGGCGGCCGGGTGGCCAGGAACGGAAGCGGAAGTGGCGGCGGCGCCGGCCTGGCCTGGCCTGGCTGAGGGGAGGCGGCGGGCGGGAGCGATGGCGGAGGCCGGGCCACAGGCGCCGCCGCCCCCGGGCACCCCAAGCCGGCACGAGAAAAGCTTGGGACTTCTCACCACCAAGTTCGTGTCGCTTCTGCAGGAGGCCAAGGACGGCGTGCTTGACCTCAAGCTGGTGCGGCCTGAGCTAAGGGGCGACCGGGAGGATAGTGGACCAGGCAGGCCGGGACCGGTAGTGGGAACCCCCGGGGCCGTCCAGTTGAGCCCTCAGAGAGCAAGCCGCCATCGGTGCGCTTTCTCACGGGAGGGAGGCCGGGAGCTGTTTCATTCATTCGACCGAGGCCATTGAGCGTCAGCTCTGTGACAAGCTCTGGGCTGCAGGTGCGGGTCCTCGTGGCCCTCCTCCGCTGGTGTGGGAAGAAGAGCATCAGAAGATCAGTTCAGACTGTGCCAGGCCTCTTCCTGCCCCGCGGTCCTGATCTGCTATGGTGCCTGGGAGAAGAGCTGGGACTCAGGACACCCCCTTTTCAGATCATTGCCATACTGGGTTTCGAGGTAGCTGGGGGGACACCTGAGAGTGGGGCTGAGTATCCTGCGCTCTGTTCTGTCTGCCAGGCAGCTGACACCCTTGCTGTGCGCCAGAAGCGGCGGATTTACGACATTACCAACGTGCTGGAAGGTATCGGGCTGATCGAGAAAAAATCCAAGAATAGCATCCAGTGGAAGTGAGTGGGGGCACCTGGGAGGGCAATGGCATCTTTTACTCAGAAGTGTCAGGGGTGTGGGGAGGAGGACACAGGAGAGAGCAATGGCCATGGGACCCAGAGTTCCTGGCAGCTCCTCTAAGCCTCACTCCCTGGGCTCAGGGGTGTGGGGCCTGGTTGCAATACTCGGGAGATTGCCGACAAGCTGATTGAGCTCAAGGCTGAGATCGAGGAGCTGCAGCAGCGGGAACAAGAACTGGACAAGCACAAGGTGTGGGTGCAGCAGAGCATCCGGAATGTCACAGAGGACGTGCAGAACAGCTGATATCCTCCTGGCGGTCCCTGCTCCCGGGGAGTGGGCGAGGGGCCCTCTAGTCCAGTTGGGTTTGCTCTGTGGTGCCCTAGACACTGTCCTTCTTGGGAGGATGATCCTGCAGCTCCTGGCCAGGTCCCTGCCTTGGCATCCCTCCTCAAACTCAAAGCCCTTCCCCAACCATTCTTGGTCTGTGATCCTTCTCCATGTAGATCCCAAGGCCCAGGACTTTCTCTGAGAGCTTGTATGTCAGATCTCTGCTAAAGAGATGGGTTTTCTCTGTGGTCTGCTGTCTGTCACCATAGGCAGGGCATCAGCCGTTCTCCTTAACCCCCACACCTTGGCCTACGTGACTCATGAGGACATCTGCAGATGCTTTGCTGGTGAGCAGAGCCTGGGTAGGGGGCAGTGGGGGTGGGGCCACGCTGAGCCACAGCCCTGAGCAGTGGGCTCAGTGCCCAAGAAGAGTTTCTCTCTTAAGAGGGTTCCTTGGGCTTGCCTAAGAGGGTTCCTTGGGCTTGCCTAAGAGGAACCAGGCAGGGTAAGTCCTGGATTTAAGGGTCATTGGGACCCCATGGAGGCAAATCATACTGAAAGCGTACAAGAATTTTGGGCTGGGTTCCTGGGTCAGTCCCCATCTGCGTTGTTTTCTGGATCTGGCTTCTCAGGCATGACAGAGGCATAAGGGGTCTCAGAGGATGTGTGTATACTCTTGCATGCTTCTCTCCAGGGAACAGTGGTGCTCACTTGCAACCTGTAGTTAGTTGCATTATAGATGTTCCTTCCTCCTTCTCCGCCTTGCATTCTCTGCATTGTTTTGGGGAAGGAACATTGGCCTTGGCTTGAACATCTACTTCTAGGTAGCAGCCCCATCAATTAGGAAGTGAGATGCCCATGGCCAGTAATCCTTCGATACACATGTTTGAACCCGGATTTTCTGGTTCTGACCCTTGGGCTCTTGGTAGGAGAAGAGCTTTAGTTTTCTTCCCCGACCAGTATGGGGTTTGGGTGAGGTTTACTGTCCTAAGAGACTATATTTTCCTTTCTTGCTCAAAGGGATAGGCACCCCCATTCTCAGATTAGATTGAGCCCATGGGCCCTGACCCATCCTTGTCATTCTAGGAGATACCCTCCTGGCCATCCGGGCCCCGTCGGGCACCAGCCTCGAGGTGCCCATCCCAGAGGTGGGTGCTAAGCCCAGGCAGGCGGGGTTGATTGAGGGCGGGTGCTGGCTGTGGAGCCTGATAAGTCCCGGGTGGGGCAGGTAGGGGGAGGCCTGGGTTTGGGGTTTATCTAGAAGGACGGGCATCTAGGGTGGGAGAGAACGCTGTGGTCCTGGCCCAGGGTCAGGCAGGAGCCAAACCTGCTTCTAATTCCACCTGTCCCCCATCCCCCACCTCTAGGGCCTCAATGGACAGAAGAAGTACCAGATTCATCTGAAGAGTGTGAGTGGCCCCATTGAAGTACTGCTGGTGAACAAAGAGGCATGGAGCTCACCGCCTGTGGCGGTGCCTGTGCCACCACCTGAAGATCTGCTCCAGAGTCCGCCTGCTGTCTCTACCCCTCCACCTCTGCCCAAGCCTACACTGGCCCAACCCCAGGACGCCTCACGCCCAAGCAGTCCCCAGCTGACCACCCCCACCCCTGTCCCTGACATCACTGAAGCCCAGGGGGTGCCTGGTCCAGCAACTGAGATCACAGGTGAGATATAATAGACAACTGGTGATGGGGTGATTTCTGGGGCCCAAAAGGCAACGCCTCAGTGTTGGGGGAGGTATACTCAGAGTTGAAAGAGACCCTGTGGGGTTGTCCTTTACCTGGCCTCCAGCTGACCTCCCCTTGCTATGGTGGTGAATGAGCTCTTTTTAATAGGGAAGCTCTCAATGTATGAAGGGGTGTCAGTGGGTATAGTTCTCCCCAGGTCCACCTGTGTCTCACTTTCCTGGCAGCCACTCTTAAAGTGTGGCCACAGCAGCCATGCCATCCTTGAGTCTCCCTCCTGCAGGCCTCATGCCCCTCTCTCCTTCGGGGGCTCATTTCTAGGTCAACTCTGTGGCTTGGGGATTGGCCGCGCCTCTGTCCTTGGGCCTGGGAACCGGGGCTCTTGTCATCCTGACTATATTTTCTAGCACAAAGCTTCTGTATCCTACTTCCTGCTCCCAAGTGACTGGGTTCGGGGGATCTGGTTGCAGTGAGTGGCGGCCCTGGACCAGACAGCAAGGACGGTGGGGAGCTCGGCTCCCTCCCCCCTGTCCTGGCAGCCCTGGACACCCGGCCACTGCAGTCTTCTGCCCTGCTGGACAGCAGTAGCAGCAGCAGCAGCAGCAGCTCATCCGGACCCAACCCTTCTACCTCCTTTGAGCCCATCAAGGCAGACCCCACAGGAGGTGAGTGCGTGTCTCCTGAGGGGCAGGGAGAACCCAGCCGCAGCCACTCCTAGGTCCGAAACAGCTGGAGCTGGAACCCAGCTCATCTGTCTCCTGAGCCAGACCAGAGCTGGCCAGCCCAACGGCCAGCACCCCAGCCTCAACCCTTGCCTCGACCCCAGAGCTCTGCCAGCCTGAGTGAGGAGCCTGCCACCAGCTCAGCACCGGTGCCCCTTTGCTTCCCTTCCTGGGCTACCCAGAACTCTCGGGACCCTCTCATGCCTTGCCTGCCTCCCCTTGCACTTAGGGGTCAGGAAGGCATAACCACCATCCTGGGGAAGGGGCTATGGTAGGGCCCTCAGGTTCCAAACGTGGGGGCAGTTCCTTATTGGGGGGGGTGACATCATTTGCCTGGAGTCTTCTTTCCATCCTGCCATTTGGGTGTTTGTTTCTTCTAGGACTCATTCTCCTTGGCCCACAGGCACCGCTCAGTCTCTTCTCACTAAGTGACCGTTTGTTCTGTTTCTTCTCACATGTTCACTGTGTCGTTTCTGTCTGGACTCCACATCTCTATTCCATTCTGTGTCTTGGTCTCCTCATCACCCTCCAGGTTTGCAGCATTCAGGACCCTTGTACTCCCCACCCCACAGGATGCCGGTGCTGCTCTGGAGAAATGGCCTCGCCCTGACTGCTGGCTCCAGCAGGTTTCCGGGCTGATGCGCTCTGGTGCCCTCTTGCTCCTTGGTGTTGCTTTCTAGCTCCTTTGGCATTTATGACATCAACTTTGGCCCTTCTCTCTCACTGGCTTTTTCTGATCTTTCCCTTGCACGCCTTTTTAAATGTGCTTCCCGGGTCTCTGTTGCACACCTGTGGAGGGTATCCATTCTGGGCAGATTGAATCCCCAGCCTCCAGCTTGCCTAGGTCTTTGTCTAAACTCCACACCTGTGTCCTCGTGCCTTCCTCTGTGCATCTGATGAGCACTTCATTCCTGTGTCACTAACTGAAGCTTACTTTTTTTTCTCTGTGTGTACCCTCCTATTGGCCCTGGTGCCCCAGGCCTGATACCTGCTTGTCACTCCACTTCGCATTTCCTTCTTGCTTCTCCTGCTCTCCACCTCACATTAACTAACTTGAGTTTTGTCTCAGACATCTCCCATCACTGGCTTCATGTATCCTCAACACTCAGGGTCACTGCCGGCTACCTCTCCCCTAAATTCTTCAGCACCCTCCTCTTTACCCTTCCTGATAGGGATCTGTCTGACACACAGGTTAGGTGGGGCATTTCTGTGTTTGAAAAGGACCTTTAATGCTTCTTAAGGCCTGCTGGATAAAACCAGAGCCCTACACCTGGCCTGTGAGATCGTCGTGTGCCAGCACACCTCTCCACTTTCGTTTTCCTCTGCTTCCCATGTGCCTCCTCCCAGTCAGACCTTTGTAGCAGACTTGTCACCCTGTAGCACCAGCCCCTATTAAGTGTCTGCCTACTCCTCTGTCCAGTCAGCATGGGCAGGCATGAGGGGGCATCTGCCATTGGACAGGGCATACCTACTGAGTCCATAAAGGGAAGGGGTCTGCTGTCCTTCTGTAGCACTTCTGAGTTAGAAGGGCTGTATCAGTCTAAGATGGGCCTTTAGTACCCTGGGCTCAGCACTAAGGAACTCACATCTGGCAGGGGAGACTGACAATGCCAGCTTGGCCTGGGGCAGGGCCTCCATCTCCTCAGCTGTGTGGAGCCCCAAGACAGGTGGTGTAACATCTGAGGGAGGTGGAGCCCAGAGTGGGATCAGACTGGATCTCTGTGCCCCTGAGCATGGCTTTCTTGTCTTTCAGTTCTGGAACTCCCCAAAGAGCTGTCAGAAATCTTTGATCCCACACGAGGTAGGTCTGCATTCTTCCATGGGATAAGGGCACAGCTCATTGGGTCTTTTGGTTGTTTTCTTGCACTTCTGAGGACCTTTGATTGTGCTTGGTACCTGGGCAAAGAGTAAAGTTCCTGATGGGTGGCTGGCGCGGGGGTCTTCATGGGCTTTGGTAGGTGCAGAGCCAGGAGCCAAAATGTAACTGAGCTTTCCTTTCCTCCCCAGAATGCATGAACTCAGAGCTGCTGGAGGAGCTGATGTCCTCAGAAGGTGGGTGGCCCAGGAAGGTGGGGGTTGGGGGGTGGGCAGGGAGTTGGGCAACTGCTGGTGGTGAGGGGTCTTGGCCCAGAGCCTCAGGCTGGTGCTCTCTGCAGTGTTTGCCCCCCTCCTCCGCCTTTCTCCACCCCCTGGAGACCACGATTACATCTACAACCTGGACGAGAGTGAAGGTGTCTGTGACCTCTTCGATGTGCCTGTTCTCAACCTCTGACTGACAGGGACATTCCCTGTGTGGCTGGGACACAGACTGTTTGACCTGGGGGGCTGCCTGAGGGCCTCCCCCACTCTACCCCTACACAGCTTGAGAGCCACAGACTCCTGGCTTCCCCAGCCTTCCCTCACTGCAATTCTGAAAACTCCCACTCCTCCACGAGCACCTGTACCATGCTAGGAAAGCAGGGGCAAGGGGCTCAGCCCTCTTTGCCATGGAGCCAGAGTGTTTGCCTCTCCTTTTCTGGAGCTCTTCCCCCACTTCATGCCCTCTCCGAGCCCTCTCAGAGCCCAGGCTCGGCTGCCACTCAGTGGCACAGAACTGAAGACCTGCCATCACCTGCATAGGGCAGCTTGTCCATCCCCACTGCCCTGTTGTAGCTAATGCCTCCAAGTCTGAGGAGGGAAGCCTGGGGTGGAGCCAGAAGCTTGCCAGCACCACCCCTAGCCTCCTTCGAGTCTCCCCACCTCTGACCCTGCAGCTCCCCCTGGACCTCTCCCATGTACTCCCCCATCTGCTGGGCCCTTAGCCCTGGGACCTATAGGTGGTGGGGTTGGGGGATGCTGCTAACAGGAAGGAACAGAGAGGTCTTTAGCTAGAAATTTGGGTGGATAAGCCCCTGAGGATTGGCCCAGTCTGCTGCCCTGTAGGTCCCCCGCCTTGTTTATTCATTTACCCTCATTTAGAGCCATTTGCAGAGATTTAGAAAGATTTGCAGTAACGAATGGATTCCTATATAAAGATTATTTTTATACTTTTTGCAGCAAAAGGAAATTGTAATATTTGTACAGTATCCAAGTGAATAAAGACCACGCCTAAGGCTATCTCTGATCTGGTTCTTTCAGGGCCTTTCTCTGGAATTCTGCTGGGTTGGTGGGGCCGGGCGGGTTACCTTTCCTGGAAAGGGGGGTGTGGCTGCTCTGGCATCCCGCCCTCTGCGTCCTGACCTGGCGCACCTTGGGGCGGGGCGGGGCCGCGGGAGTGGGGCGGGGCCAGCGTCTACCCAGAGGACTCCAACCCGGAACTAATCTCGTCTCCCTTGGGAAGGCCGCGCGGCCCCTGGCCAGGAGCGGGAACCAGACCCGTCAGTGCGGGCCTCGGGGTCCAAGCCTTGGACAAGGGACGTCCTCATTTTCGGAGACACCAGACCAGGCGCCCGCCTTGGCTGGAGCTTGGATGGTCTGGAAACTACAGGCGCCCTTGCCCTGTTTGGACCATGGCGCCCCCGCGAAACGTGGTGAAGATCGCGGTCCAGATGCCTGACGCCATCCCGCAGCTCATCAGGCTGGACCAGGTCACTCGGCCTTTCTGGCCTCCATTCACCCCACCACCCACCTGCGGGTCGACCCCTTCCCCTCGGAACCCCCAGGGTCCTCCCCGTCTCCTCCCCACACCTGCCCCATGAGTGACCTCCACTTGCAGGCAAAGCCTCTGGCCGCTGTGCTGAAGGAGGTGTGCGACGCGTGAGTGCTGGCTGGCCAGGCTGGGGAGGGGGATGGGGGGCCGCCCTCTACCTGTCTCACTGAGCCTTGGCCTCCTCGCAGGTGGAGCTTGGATCACTCGGAATGCTACGCCCTGCAGTTTGCTGATGGGCACAGGAGATACATCACTGAGAACGTGAGTCCCCCCACCCGCTAGGCCCATACCCCACTGTGCGACCCCTTCTAACCCACCTGATCTTGATCCCTCAGACTCATCCCCATCTAGAATGTGATCTTTCTTTTCCTGACTCCCAAACCCTCCCTTACCAACAACCCGGATTAACCAATTCTTAGAGCCCTTCAATGACTTCTCTCCCTTTCTCTCCGTCTTCTCCAGAACCGCGCAGAGATCAAGAATGGCAGCATCCTGTGCCTCAGCACTGCCCCAGTAATGCCCTTCTTGACCCTCCACTCATTCCCTGCCCTAGACTATGCCCCTTTGCCTCCCACCTTTCTCTCTGCCCATAGTGGGAGGGCCCAACCCCAGCTCCGCAGTGCCCCACCTAGTGGGCATCTGAGTCCCCACACTTCGAGTTCCTGTTGTCCAGCCTCCCTCACCTTTCCCACCCCTGCCCAGGACCTTGAGGCTGAGCGGCTTTTGCATGGGCTGCAGAATGGGAGTCGTGAAAGGCGCCGGGAAACTCTGCACCACCTCGTCTTGCTGGCCCCAGACGTGACCTTTGCCCAGGAGGTTATCAGCCGTGATGGGCTTCAGAGACTAGGCACCATCATTGAGGATGGGGATGAGTGAGCACAGGACTGTGGTTTGTGGTGGACATGGCGGGGCTGGGGGTCCTGGCCTGGGCCCCACTCAGCCCCAGATGTCCCCCCAGCTTAGGGGAGGTGCTGACCCTCGCACTGAGGGCCTTCTTGGAGCTCATGGAACATGGCATGGTGTCCTGGGAGACACTCAGCATCCCCTTTGTTAGGAAGGTGGGTTGGCTTTTCTAGGGGCAGCAGGTGGGGCTGTGGGGTGGTGTCAAGATCTGGCCTTCCATGGCGGGGAAGTGATAGCAAGCCCCTACCCCTGTTACAGGTGGTGGGCTACGTGAACATGAACCTGATGGATGCATCTGTGCAGCCCCTGGCCCTCAGGCTGCTAGAGAGTGTGACCTTGAGCAGCCCTGCCCTGGGCCAGCTGGTCAAGAGTGAGGTGCCACTGGATAGGCTGCTGGTACATCTACAGGTGTAAGTGACCAGGGGTGGGGGTGGAACACAGGTGAGGGGCATGGAGCCAGACCCTGGGCAGCCCGCTGATAGCCTCCTCTTCTTGCCCCAGGATGAACCAGCAGCTACAAACCAAGGCGATGGCTTTGCTGACAGCCTTGCTGCAGGGGGCCAGCCCTACTGAACGTAAGGTGAGTGTCCCATCTGGTGAGGACTGGGGGGTGGGAGGAAGGGCAGGAGCTGGTGGGTACTGCGCTCCATCCCGGGACTGCAGGATGGCTGCTCATGGGGGGCTGAATCATCTAAGTCCCCTTCCCACTTACCCCAGCACATGCTTGATTACCTGTGGCAGAGAAACCTTCGCCAGTTCATCTATAAGGTAGGAAGGACTGGGCTAGGCAGACCCCTCCCCACTTTTCCTCCCCCAGTAAGCCTCCATTCACACCTGCGGACTGGCCGTCTCCAGAACATCATCCACAGTGCGACACCATTGGGCGACGAGATGGCTCACCATTTGTATGTACTGCAGGCCCTTACGTTGGGGCTGCTGGAGCCACGCATGAGGACGCCACTGGACCCCTATAGCCAGGTGGGTGCGCCTTGGGGGTATACGAGGCTGGGGAAGCTAGAGCATGGCCTTGGATCTGTGATCCTGACACCCCCTTACCCCATGACGACGACCCCAGGAACAGCGGGAGCAGCTGCAGGCCCTGCGTCAGGCTGCCTTCCAGTCAGAGGGGGAGTCTCTGGGCAGCGGGCTTAGTGCCGACCGTCGCCGCTCCCTGTGTGCCCGCGAGTTCCGAAAACTGGGCTTTTCCGTGAGTGACCCCTCCCTAGCTCCCCACCCTCGCCTCAACCCGGGGCTGCTGTTGTTCCAGAGGCTGGGGGCCGTTCCTGAGCTGCCGGTCCTGCTTCCCCCCAGAACAGCAACCCCGCACAGGATCTAGAGCGCGTGCCCCCTGGCCTGCTGGCGCTGGACAACATGCTCTACTTCTCCAGACACGCACCCAGCGCCTACAGCCGGGTCAGTACTTGGTTGGGGGGGGTGGGAGATGGCAGGGTCCCCCAGATCTTAGCTCTGCTCCCATCCCATTTGCTTTTTCTCCCACCCCAGTTTGTGCTGGAAAACAGCAGCCGTGAGGACAAGCACGAGTGCCCCTTTGCCCGGAGCAGCATCCAGCTCACTGTGTTGCTGTGTGAGCTGCTTCGTGTTGGGGAGCCCTGTGAGTGGCACTGGGCACAGCGTGTCTGGGAACGTGGGACGGAAGGGCAGAGAGGGCCAGGGGCTGCACACGCGTTCTCCCTGAGCCCCGCCTGCCCCCCTGCTCCAGGCTCCGAAACAGCCCAGGACTTTTCGCCCATGTTTTTCGGCCAAGACCAGAGTTTTCATGAGCTCTTCTGTGTGAGCATCCAGCTGCTGAATAAGACCTGGAAGGAGATGCGAGCCACCCAGGAGGACTTTGACAAGGTGGACAGGGTGGGAGGGAGGAGACCCGAGCCAGGGCAGGGGCTGTTCTCAGTCGAGGTCCAGAGCGCAGCACTGAGCAGAATTTGGTGGCCCCAGGTTATGCAGGTGGTGCGGGAGCAGCTGGCCCGCACACTGGCCCTGAAGCCCAGCTCCCTGGAGCTTTTCCGAACCAAGGTGAATGCGCTCCCCTATGGGGAGGTGCTGCGGCTGAGGCAGACAGAGCGGCTGCATCAGGAGGGCACGCTGGCCCCTCCCATACTGTGAGTTGGTGGGTGAGGTTCCCCTTCCAGCCCCTAATCCCGTGCCCCACGGGGCCTTGCCCGAGGTCAGTCCCAGTTGGCAAGGCTTCCTCTTGTCCCCCACCCCCAGGGAGCTACGGGAGAAGCTGAAGCCAGAGCTCATGGGCCTGATCCGCCAGCAGCGTTTGCTCCGCCTCTGTGAGGGGACACTCTTCCGCAAAATCAGCAGCCGGAGGCGCCAGGGTGGTGGCGCCCGCGGGGGGTGGGGGAAGTGGGGTGTTGGGGGGGGGGTGGGCAGAGTGTGGCTGGGTTGGGGTCAGGGCCCCTCTCATCACTCCCCTCTTCCTTTCTGCTCACAGACAAGCTGTGGTTCTGCTGCCTGTCCCCCAACCACAAGGTGCTACAGTACGGGGACATGGAGGAGGGCGCCAGCCCACCCACCCTGGACAGTCTGCCTGAGCAGCGTAAGGAGGACAGGGCAGGGGTCCGGGTCAGCCACCTGCCCTCCCCAGACCACCCCCTGTGTGGGGACCGCCTGGGTCCCAGTGGTCAGCCCAGCCTTCTTCCTGCAGTCCCTGTGGCTGATATCAAGGCACTGCTAACAGGCAAAGACTGCCCCCACGTCCGGGAGAAGGGTTCAGGGAAGCAGAACAAGGTGAGTGCAGTGGAAGCCTGGGGCTCCTTCCCACCCACACCTGCCCTGCTCTTTTCCCCGCTCAGCGCTCTCCACTCCCTGCCTTCCCCAGGATCTCTATGAGTTAGCCTTCTCTGTCAGCTATGACCATGGGGAGGCAGAGGCATACCTCAACTTCATTGCCCCATCCAAACGGGAGGTGAGTGTCTGGGCCAGGCTAAGCCAAGTTGGGCAGACAGGCCAGGGCAGAGATGGGCAGGCCCTCACAGAGCTGGCTCTGTCCCCAGTTCCACCTGTGGACAGATGGGCTGAGTGCCCTGCTAGGCAGTCCCATGGGCAGTGAGCAGACTCGGCTGGACCTGGAGCAGCTGCTGACGATGGAGACCAAGCTGCGGTTGTTGGAGCTGGAGAATGTGCCTATTCCCGAGCAGCCTCCTCCCATCCCCCCGCCCCCCACCAATTTCAACTTCTGCTATGACTGCAGCATCGCTGAACCTTGACAGTGAGGTTGGCTGTGTGCCTCAGCTGCTGGCATTGGTGGCGGTGAAGGGTGGGGGGTGGAAAAGCCCAGACACCCTGACCAGCAGAGGCTGCAGCAGAAATAAAGTCTGCTTGACTCCTGGGTGTATGTCGAGCCAGTTCTCCAACTGTGGGCCAAGCCTGCCTTCAAATTTAGCTGGCAAATGAGACGGGGCATTGGGTCAAGATCACTGCCTAGGGCCACAAACCTGGGCGGCTGTGGTTGAGGCTCTTCTCCAGGAGGGGCTGGAGACAAGCTGACCCTCCAGTCCTTCCACCAGATGAGCCCTCAGCCTGTCTCAGTGCTGGGCCAGTTGAGGGAGAAGTGGCAAGGCAGAAAGTATTGCCTAAGTGGATACCTTCCTGGGCCGCATTAACAGGGGCCTAGTTTCCAGAAGGCTCCTGACATCTGAACTCAGTCCTGCTTGGCCACACCTTGTGTCCTTTTCAAGACTAGGAGGCCCTCTGATGAGAGACCTAAAGGGACAGATGTAAAGCCGGGTCTGTTTGGTGATGAATGGCAAACTCCGAATTCCAAATTTATGCCCCCAGGTGGTGGTGGGATGGGGCTGATGCTAACAGGAGGGTATTCAGTGCTGGAAGCCTGGCATTCTGATCCAAATCTAGCCAGGAACATGGGTGTGGAGGGGGCCACAGCCAGGCAAGACCCCTGGGGGTGGAAGTGGTGAGGGGTGTTGGGCCCAGCTGGAGGTCAGTTTCAGAGGCTAGTACACCAACCCACGGGCCCCACAGGGCATGCTGGAAGCTGCCACCTCTCTCTAACCTCCTCCATGCCCTTTAGTACTTCTCTTTCTCAGCACCTTCACACATATATTTTAAAGTGTTAACCATCAACCTGTTACCTTGAAAACCGGTGAAATGGCATCTCCTTTGGACAATGCGCTTGGGGGAGCACCTGCTTCTGACTCAGGCCTCCAGGTCCCGACATGCCCACTCCTGTATTCGGAGCCTTCCCACCACACTTGGAATAGTTCAAGTTCAACTTATTGAGTTCAAGATGGCAGCTAGGAACGTGATCCCACCTGCAGTTAACTCTTCTAATACCATCAGTTCTTCCTCCCCAGTGTCTCCACTCCCTTGTCCAGGCCACCAGCATCTTGGCAAGAATCTTCCTGGCTTCCTGCCTCCTGTCTTGCCCCTACAGTCCTTAACACCCCGAGTGCTTCTTCAGACATGAAGCTGATGTGATTACACATTCACATGCACGCTACCCCTATCCTGTATTTTTCAGTGTCTCTCTGTTGTCTGTGGAATGATGGTCAGTTACCCGCCTGAGCAGTAGAACTAGATGTGTTGCAGACATGTTGTGGTTTAGGACGTCTAACAAAAGGCCTGTGGCAGGGGCACCTGGGTGGCTCAGTGGGTTAGAGCCTCTGCCTTTGGCTCAGGTCATGATCTTAGGGTCTTGGGATTGAGCCCTGCATCAGGCTCTCTGCTCAGCAGGTATCCTGCTTCCTCCTCTCTCTCTGCCTGCCTCTCTGCCTACTTGTGATCTCTGTCAAATAAATAAAATCTTAAAAAAAAAAAAAAAAAAAAGCCTGTGGCATGCAGAGTTCTCCAGAGTTCTCTGTGCTTGATTTGAGCTGGCATCCTCCCTGAGGCCCAGGGGCCCCACCCTCCCCTCCCTGGCACCAGCTCTGGCTTGCCATGTGCACGTCCCCGGTCCTTTCTCGTTGCCCTCTTCCTTCCCTGCTGCTCCTTTTTCACTGACTTGAGTCTTGCCTTGATCTCCCAGCTCTTTGTTGCTCTCCTAGGCTCCCAGTTCCAGGTGCTTGTTTATTTATGCATACCCTGCACACTGGACTGTCCCTCTCTGCTGGGTCATTTGCCTCCCCACCTGACCTGGGGACTGGGAGAGCTTCGGCACCTCCGAACCCCACATAAAGTGCAGTGCCTGTGGGCACTTGGGCAGCCATGCTAGCTGCTCCTAGAACTGATGGACAGATGGACAAAGAGGGTGGACAGATAGTTTCTCACAGCTGCTGTTGAGAAGTCACTGGCACTGTTTAGGAGGTTGGACTAGGGGACCTCTAATATCCCTACCCAGAGATACTGTCCTCTTTTTTTCTCCCTGATGACAACCTTACCATATCCTTAATAAGTGTGGTCCTAGGGCCTGGCTGGGGGACATGCTTGGAGGCTCAGACAGGGGGAGGCCTCTAGGCTTCTAGTCTCCCACCATACTGGGCGGGAAGTTAGGACTTGCTGGGGGTACCTGTGGGGCTTTGGGTCAGGTGTAAGGAAGAAATTGGCTATGTGCCTCAGTGCCTCTGGTGTTTGTCCACATTGTCCCTGGGCTTGGCTGGGCTGCTTCAACGGAGGTTGGGGGGAGGGGGCCCTGTAGTCTGAGAACTTCAGACAAGGAGGTAAGATCTGGAATTTTTAATTTTGTTTGGGTTTACAACAAAGTCTGTGGCTTGGCTTCTAAAGCTTGGTGCTAGTAGGGGCCGGGTGAGCTGCTTACAGGGGACGAGACGAGGTGAGGTGTGGGTCTTGGGTGTGAGAAGTGGGCAGGGCAGGAGGCACAAGGTCTCCTCTGTAGCCCCTGATGCATCCTGGGGGCCTGGCCTCCAGACCCAGGCCTGACCAGGAGAGCAGGAGCTGGCATTTCCAGAGGCCTGTGGCAGCGATGTATAGCTGGGAAGGGCTCCTGCTGGGCTCTAGGGCAGACTGGGGCAGAAAGGCCCCTGGGCTGCCCTGGATTAGCCCTATACCCAGTCCTAGAAAAAGGGGTTTATAGCTTGGGGAAGGGGCTTTGGGGTACATGGTAGAGTGGGGCAGAAGCACAGCGTCAAGCCAGGTCAAGAGGCCAGGGCTGGGTCTTTGGGGACAATGGAGGCTGAGGCCCAGGGTTGGTTACTGACCTGGCCCTAGAGCGTTAAGGTCAGGTCAGCCCCTCCGACATACCGGGACTGGATGCAGGTCACCTGGGGCAGCTGGGCTTGGAGGTGCCTGACGGCAGCCATGCTGATACGAGGGCACATGGCCACATCTAACATCCGGAGCTGCTTGCATGCCTGCCCGATGGTATCCAGGGTTCTGTGGGGAGGCCTCTGATGAGCGCAAGCCAGCGTGGGGACCCAGCCCAGCCCCTGTACCATGGCATCATCAGAACTCACTGCTCTGTGAGCTGTCCGCAGCTGGCCAGGTTGAGGTGCTGCAGCCTGGGCCAGGAGCGGGCTGCCTGGGCCCAGCCCTCATCGCTGAGGAGGCTGCAATGACTTAGCACCAAATGTTCCAGGCTGGGGCAGCCCCTGGCCACGGCCACCAAGCCTTTGTCTGTGAGTGCTGGCAACAGGCTCAGGGACAGCCGCCTCAGCTCGGGGAACTGGAGCACCTGCAAGGATGGGGGTGAGGAGTGGGGGTGGGTAGAGTATGGCATTGGAGCCCAGAGGCCTTCCAGGCTCTCCCACCCCTAGCCAGAGGAATGGCCATACGTGGCAGAAGCCAAAGAGAATGGGTCATTTTCTAAGCAAAAAACGGGTTGGCCTGGGCCTGGCTCTGGTGCCAGGATCCTTGGTCTATTCACACCCCCAGGCCCACACCTTGGCCAAACTGGCATCAGTAAGTTTGCTGCAGGCTGTGAGGTCCAACTCCTGCAGGGTCCGCAGCATGAGCAGTGACGGGCCCTGTGGCTGGGCAGAAGGGTCCTTGGGGACCGAGGCCTGATGGTCCAGCTCTTGATGTAGCTGCGGGAAGAAGCACCTGCTTCTCAGGTTCCTCCTGAGTTTGGCCCTCAAATGCTCCTAGAGAGAGACACTTAGGAGGGGCAGGAGGGCAGCTGAGTCCAGGGACCACCACCCCCTTCCCTGACCTGCACCTGGGGCTCCTGCGCAGGCTCCTCACTTGGTTCTCCCAGCCCCAGTAGACCCCAGTCTTGGAGCTCCGTGCACCAGGCCAGACGCAGGACAGAGAGATGGGTTAGGCAGGTGCAGATGGCCTGCACGGTCCTATTGGTGAGGGCCACACAGGAGGACAAGTCTAGCACCCTGAGGCTCAGGCCCAGCACTGGGATCAGGGAGAACACTGAGGCGTCCTAGGAGGGAAGTGGAGAAGGGAGAGACCAATGGGAAGGCAGCTTGTGCAGGTGTCCCTAGGAAGGTTCTGCGGACGTTCCAGCCCCACAGGCAACAGGGAGCTACCAGATGGTCCGTGGAGGGAAGCAACCATGTCCCTGTCTGGTAACAGGTAGGTGCGGGACACCAGGAGGAGTTTGCCGGAGGCCCAAGGCCTAGACTGTCTGCAGTGGGAAGGGTGCAGGTGCAAGTTTCTAAAGTATCTGTTGTGCCTGTGTGCCCAGGCCCTGCGGAAGTTGTGGGCGGAGGCAGCCTTCTGGCCGCAGCTTAGTGGATCATGGATAGACACCTGGCCCTAGCTGAGCCAATCAGGTATGCTCCCTCCAGAATTTGAAGCAGAACGTGAGGTCACAGTGGGGGTAGGGCTGCCACCTGCCAGGAGCAGGAGCTAAAGGCAGAGTAGAGAAAGCTGGTTTTTAAAGAGGTTTGTAAGAGACACAAGAACGCGGGGCCCCGGGGAGAGCAGCTAGGAGACACATCGGGCTGATGGGAAAATGAACCGGGGGCAAGGGAAACGGTTGTGGAGGAAAGAATGAGAGACGGTTTTCAGGCTGGGAATGCCCTGTGCACACTGAGAGGTTGAAGGAATAATCCCCTGAAGAGGGAGGGACTGACACTGCCAAGTTAGGGACTCCACGCAGAGGGACGGGGCTGAGCCCTGTTGAAGGGACCGGCCGCAGCCAGGACATGACCATGACTCCCACAGCACATTCCCTTCTGTCAGACCGTGCCGAGCAACCTCCTTGTGTAACCTCAGTATCCATTCCCTGCAGAACCCCCTCTCTTGTCTTCCCTGCCTCCAGAACACCCGCCATCAGTGCCCCTACCCAGACTACAGGGGTCACGGAGCGCTTAGTGTGCCAGCTCGTGGGCTGGGCCAGCCTGGTCCCTTGGACCTCCTCTGTCTGGGCCCACAGTAGGGGGTGAGGGGAGGAGTGCCTGCAGGAGCACTGTCTTTCCAGGCTCCTTTCCCCTTGTGTCCTCAGTTCCTTTCTCATCGCTGTTGCTTGGACATCGATACTGGGCAGTGCCTCCCTGCTGCCACGGGTGCAGCTCCCCCAGCCCCAGCCCTGCAGAGGAAGGAAGGGGAGGGTGTGCTCACCTTGAGAGAGGAGCAGTAAGCCAGGCTGAGGGAGGCTAAGGGGGCTGGAGCCCTGTGCCCTGAACCCAGGGCCTGGGCCAGGCCCTGCCCGCTCACCAGACAGCACTCTGCTAGGTCCAGGCTGCGCAGTTCCCGCAGCCCCCCCAGCGCTGTGCATCCCGCGTCCGTCAGCCGCTGCAGCTTCCTTAGGCGGAGGCACCACAGGTGCCCCAGGCCCCGGCCGATGGCCAGGAGTGCGCCGTCGGCCAGTTCTGAGCAGCCGCTGAGATCCAGGGAGGTCAGGCCCGACTGCAGACGGCACAGGGCGGTCACAGCCTCTGTGGAGAGGTCCTGGCAGCCGTGCAGCCTCAGCTCCTGCAGCTGCAGCCCGGCCACCCCGCCCAGGGCCTTCAGGGCCTCGGGGAGCAAGCCAGTACCGCTCAGGTCCAGGGCGTGCAGCCTACCGGCCCTCTCCTTCACGAATCGCAGCAGGTTGTGGAAGGAGAGCTGGGAGGGGGAGGAATCTGGGGGGCCAAAGGAGCCCCGGGCTGGGCGTAGTTCAAAAGTGAGGTGACAGTAGGCCAAAGAGAGGCGCTCCAGGTTGGGGGCACAGCTGCTGAGCCTGTTGAAACTGAGGTCGGTCAGGTCCCGCAGGCCAGGCAAGTTGAGCTCACACAGGCCACGCAACACCTGCCGGACCCGCTGCGCCGTCTCGGGCTGCGCGAGCAGTGTGCCCGATGTGAAGAGGCTATGGCAGCCACTGAGGTCAAGGCTACGCAGGGCCGGGCAGCCCAGGATCAAGGCCACAAAGGAGGCCTCCGTGGGGCTGCCCCCACTGAGGCACAAACTCTGCAGGTGGGGGCCCAAGTGGTAGGCGACAGACTCCAGCACCTGTTGCGAAGCTGGCGAGCCATCCAGGCTGGTCAGGCCGATGCAGGTGACGCCCCTGAGGCCCAGGCTCTTGATGACCGGGAGGGAGGCGGAGGACACGGGGATGTTGTACTGCACATTTGTCTAAGGGGCGGCAGCAGGAATGGAGTTAGCCCTCTTGCCTCCGAGGGGCTGGCCATCAGGTCTGGCGGCCAGTCACTGGCTTGTCAGGGAAGGGCCCCGTCACAGTGAGGACCCACTGTGGTGTGCGGTGTCATGTGTGGTTGAGGGGGTACTGGTGGGAAGTGGGAGGTGGGAAGACAAGTCACTCTGGGGCTCAAAGGAAGTGACTGTGAAGGGAGGGCAGGAAGGTTATCGACAGATGGGATTGGATGCCTGTGGACGGGTGGGGAAGGGTGGGGAGCGGGCATGCTGGGCGCAGGGGGCTGGGGTGGCCTGGAGGAGGGCCAGCAAAGCTCCCTGGGGCAGAGGGACTAAGTGTGCTGGATCCCAAACTTTGGGACCTTCCGAAGGTGGCCCTGAGACCCGTGGCCTCGGTTCCTTCTGCAGGGAGTCAGCTCAGCATTATCTAAGCAACCAGCCTCCCCCCACTTTTTCCAGAGACTATAAATAGCCCTCAGAACAGCTGAGGGCATTAAGAAGCAAAGCAGTTGTCACTTCCCACTGCCGTGGGTGGCCCAGGTGCCAGAGGCCTAGGGCAGGCAGTGAGGCCTAGGTCCCCTGGTGGCCTGAGTAGCTCAGCCACTTGAGTGTTTGTGAAAAGGGGTGTGTGTGTGGTGCGTGTGTGTGTGCGTGCACGTACGCGTGTGTGCACATAGGGGTGCACCAATGTGTGTGGGCCCTGCAGGCTCCAGAGTTCAAGATGTGCTTGTGATTCCTGGGGCTTGTCTCTGGGGAGTCTATATTATCTGTCCAGGGAAGCAAGGAGAAGCCTTCCATTTCTGTGGGCAGAAGCTAAGGGAATGAATCTTGAGGTGCCAAGAGTATGGGGCTGGCCCTGCTGTAGGGCAACAGGAGAACGAGAGTGGGGTGGGGGGTGTCCATGACTGATGTGGGGTGGAGCCTGGTGGCGAGCTCAGGGCTAGGTTGAGGCGGGGAGAGCCTGGCTTGTCTAGGAGTTTGGGGAGCCCCCGTTTCCATAGACTTGTCCCTGATTTTGTGCCAGAGGGAAGTTATAGCAGGTGTGGGGGAGGTGGAGGAGGGTTTGGCTTCTTCTCTACCCCTGACGGATGGCCAGGCCACAGGCAAGCAGTACTCAAAGGCTGTTTCAATACATCATCGTGATCCTGACACAGGAAGGCAAGCTCTCAAAAAACCTGTCCTGTCGGTTACTGCGAGAACAAGCTGGTGTCCCCTGCTTCTGCCCCACGAAACGTCATCAGAAGGGATTCAGAAAGGTAGGATGACACATAAGGTGCATGCCTGCAAGATACTTATCAGCAGGATTCTCCCAGGAAGACACATGAAGCCCATTCCTGGGTGGAGAAACCAGGCTGACTTCTGCCAGAGAGAGAAGCAGCTCCCTGTGGCTGTCGTCATGGAAGGAGTGTGTGGTAAGAAATGGGGGCCGGCTCCCGACCACTTCCACAGGAATGAGGGGTCAAGCCAGGCCCCCTGTCCAGACCCCATTCCCATTCCCAGGATGTGGTCATTGCAGACTAAAGGTGCACTTGCCGCAGCTCCCCCTCGTGGACACTGGGAGGCAGTGGGGGTGGGAACCCCATGGGCCTGGCTCGGCGAGGGTAATTGAAGGGGATGAAAAGATCAGAGGGGAAAGGTTTGAGAAAGAAAGGCTAAAGCTGGCTGCCAACAGAGGGGCCAGTCCAAGGATGGAGAGTGAGCCGTGGCTGCAGGTGCAGAGCAGGGCCCGTTGCTGAAGCAGCACTGCCCCTGCCCTCATGTCGTGTCCCCCACTCCCATCCCCACCTCCCAGGCTCCACCAGCTGCTGTCCTTCTTTGCCTTCCTTCCTGAGCCTTGGAGGCCAGGAAATGTTCTCATGTTCTCTCCCTCTCCCACTGCCTCCCTATGAACAAGGTAGGTGAACAACTGAGGGGGAGGGCGCTGGCAGTCAGCCTAGAGGCCAAGTCCAAGGGCAGACTAGTGGCAGGAAAACCCACCAAACTCAGGGGCGGGGCCTGGTCTGAAGGACTTCCAGCGGCTATTGAGAGAGAGAGAGAGAGAGAGAGAGAGAGAGAGAGAGAGAGAGTGTGTGTGTGTGTGTGTGTGTTGAGATCTGAGACCGCCTCCCTGCTCCCCATTGTTTTTCTTGATGGGGAGGGGGCAGCCTCTAAGCCATCAGCCAGGTAGTCTGCCCTGGACTCAGTGTGCAGCGCCCAGGAGCAGCCCTTTAGGGATATTGATCGTTTGCGGGGAGCAGAGCAGCAAGCAGAAGCAGCACGCTCCTGGGTCACTGCGGTCTCTAGCCCCAACGTAGGAAGGTCCCCCTCCCTAGGCCCTAGGCAGATGCTTCTGGAGCTCCAAAGGAGGACTGCAACGTTATCTGCTCCAGCTTCAGCTGCCCTATTCACAGAGAAGCCAACCAGCCCCCATTTCGTCCTTTTCCAGAGCTGGCCTCTTAGGACTAGATGCTAAATCATTTGGGAAATGCCCCAAATCTGCTAAAATGGACACATAGCCCTTGAATATGAGAGACCAGGCTTCCACTGCACCTCACGAAGCCCTGAGCTGCAATGGCAACCTTGTGTGCAGGCTTGGAAAGCCATCTGCTAGAGGAATGGCTCTCCTGTTTGCTGGCACAGGAATCCAAAGCTAACATGCCTGTTCTCCAGAAGAAAATATATGCCCTGGAACCCAGGGGCTTTGGTCTCTAGAGAGGAATTAGACCTTGGGGGTCATTTCCAGAGGCTCCTCTGGGCCTCTGTAAATACCCCCAGGCAGGAGAAGGGAGTGGAGGGCAGAAGCTGAGCTGTCTGGAGTTCTTCACAGTGACCAGCCCAGTGGCAGGCAACCAGGGCTCTCCCCGAAATGGGCAGAGCGTGCGTGCGTGCGTGCGTGTGTGTGTGTGTGTGTGTGTGTGTGTGTGTGTGTGTGTGTCTGGGGGAAGGTTCTGCCTTTGTCTACCTTCTTATTTGAGAAGAGATAGGATTAAGTGGGAGCAAGTCAGGGGGACTAAGAAGTCACCCATCCAGCATCCTAGCCTGGCCTGGTGAGGCGCACACCCCAGCCGTGCCTTGGTGAGCCGGAATCCTTGGCGGCACCAAGGAAGTGCTAATTTCTTAACCACCTGCCCATATCTGGGCCCTGGGAGATGGTTCCTACTAGTAAATCCTACAAATTGCTCTCTGGGACATGGTGGTGGTGGGATGTCAGCAGAGCCCCAGATGCCCTGTACCTGTGGCCTGTCCTTCGAGGGCTCCCAGCCCAGGTGGGGCTGAGTTCTGCTGAGACACCAAACAGGTCTCGGCGTCTGGAGCTCACAGTTAGCTGGAACAGCCCGAGGGCTGACATGGTGGCGGACTCCACCATCTCAAACTCCGCCCTCCACCTCACTCTGCTATCCCATTCCAGTCTACTCCTGACTGCCCACTTTGGTTTTCCCCTCTCCTTCTTGGCTGGACTCCAAGAATCTCTCTCCTGATTCTCTCTTCTTGGGGTCCTGGGGCCCTGCCCCCGTCATGCTACTGTGCCCATTCTTCTTGCCTTGCCAAGATGAGACTGCTGCCTCTTCTGGGTCTGTGCTAAGCGTACAGAATTCTGCCCATGGAAGCCATAGTCTTCCCTCTTGTCTCCCCCACTACCACCTCCTCCCCTGGCTCTCTTCCCCTCTGTCTCAAGGTTCTCTCCAAGCCCACCATTCTCTCTAGTCCCTGATGCAAGGGCAGCACTGTCCCCTTACTCTGACATTCTCAGAATTCTCAGAGACGAAGTGTTCTGTTTCAAAAAGAAGCCAAAGTCATCAAGTGGGGAAGGCCCTCCCTTTGCCATGTTCACATCTGCCAGCCAGCTCCCCTAACCACCTTCCCTCTCCAGGTCCTGGTCCCCTTCTCTCGACCTGCTGGGCCTGCTCCCGGCTTCTGGCATAGGAACGGGCAGCCCCTGCCTTTCCACTGCTTCTTCCTCAGTTTACAAATACCTCAGGGTCATAACTAACAAAAGGCCTCCCTTGATCCTGCCCCACCCCCCACCACTCCTGCTTCTCCCCTTTCGTCTGTCCGCAGGCCTCCTGGAAGCACGTGGGCCTGCCCACACCATGCTCACCACCTTGTTAGACCTCTTGCCTCACCCACTCACCCCTCCATCACTCCCCCATGGGACCTCTCATTCCTGGCAACAGCTCCCCCTCAGCCAAGTCACCAACATCTGGGGGCTCCTCTGCAGACCTCCCACAAGTGTCCTTTCTGCCGTGCCACCTGCTGTGGATGGCCAGTCTCCCCCACGCTCTCTCCCACTGGGTGTTCTGTGGCTCTGCCTGCCTGGCTCTCCTTCCTACCTTCTAGCCTGCTCCCCATCAGCCTCTTTTGGGGCCACCAAAGAAGAGAGAGACCCAGTCCATAGAGGAGTGAGTTCTTTACTGTACATTCTGCCCCCCCACACACACACCACACACACACCCCTCCCTGATCTTTTCATTCCCTTGAATCACCTTCCCTACCCACTGGGATGGGTCGTCCCACTCTCCTTAAATCTGAGACAGGGAGCCAGGCCCTTGGGGTTCCCACACCCCACTGCCTCCCGGTGTGCGCACACACGCGCACGTGCATGCACACACACATGCGCATGCATACACTCTCCGCTGCACCCTGGCAGACTGCACTCCAACACATCCCAACTTCTTTATTTGCAGTCCACATCTTTTTCCAGAACACAGAGCCTGGGACCTCGCCAGATACATGGATGCAACATACTTCCTTCTAAATTCACTGTCTGATCCCCTAGTGCAGCACCCCTACTCACTCTTCTTAGCTCAGGCTTCCCTCCCTCTCACTACCTGTTCTCAAGCAGTGGAGGAGTGCCGTGCCAACCCCAGCCCTGCAGCCTGAGTGGCCAGCCCAGGGCCCGGCACAGACAGCCAGCATCCCTGTCTGAGGGAGTGAGGCCCTCTGAGCAGCTCTGGTAACTCTCTTGCTTCCTTCTGCCCTGTGACTATTCCAAGCCTCTGTGCTGAGGCCTTGGCCTCTACCTTTCTTGTCACGCCCCAAGACAACATGGCCTCCAAATTCACCCAGCAAAGAGGTCACTAGCCTCAGAGGAACTTCCTCAGCAAACCGTTCCACACTGCCACCCACTCCCCTCCATGTCCCAAGCCAGAGAGGTGCCATCCTCCCGACCCGAGCCCAGGCCAGGCCTTCTATCACCCCAGGTGGCATCTGCCCTTTCTCCTGTCTCTGCTTCCAGCATTCACATTCATCCCTCCTCTGTGACTCTCCTCAGCATACGAACACATTTGAAATTTATCACAACGAAAATCCTTTGTGGAGTCCCCTCAACCTGTCATTACTGCCCTATTTGTTTCCTTCCTCTCATGGGGAAGTTTCTTGCAAAGGAGGTCACTCTCTACAAGCCCTTTCTTATCTCATTCACTCTTCCACCCACCTGGCTTTTGCCCCCAGATGCCAAATGTTGCTGAAGTCACTGGGGACCTCCCTGGACATCAGACATCAGGGACACTATCTGTTCTTTATCTTCTGGACTCTTCATGGGATTTGACACTGTCAGTCATCCACTCACGACACTGTAAATGCTCTCCACTTTTGATCCCTGGTACTTCCTCTGGAGGGGCCTCCTCCCTTCCACGCCCTTGGACTGGTTTACTCTCCTGGGGTATTCTGCAGCCCGCTGTTCCTATGGCTTTTCACCTGCTTTCTGGGGGATGTTGCTTGGATCCATGGTTTCAAGCTCCACCCACTCCTGAATGGTACCCAACTCTGCATTTATTACCAAGACCCTTCTCTTGAATTCCTCACACAGAAACCCAATGACCAACTGCATCTCACCATCTAGATGTCTCACACTTCAAATTTTCAACAAGTCCAAATCAAATTGCTTTAAACACTGAGCTCAATGACACTGGATAGATCACGTGACAACAGACCCTACTTATATATACACATTTAATATGTGACAGAGGAGGAGTCCCACGCAGCAGGGAAGGAGAAGAGTATATATAAATGGTATTAGGGCTCTTTGAAAACTAATCAGTTTAGCTTCTTACCTGAGAGAATAGATCAAAATGACCTTTACAATTAAAAAAATTACTATAAAAATTCAAGCCATGAAACAGAAGAAACACTTGTTGTGAACCTAAAACCTGTCTGAAAAAATAAGTCTAATAAAAAAAAAAAAACAGAAGGGACATCTGAGTGTACATCAAATCATGAAGAAGCAAGGGGTCTCTAAATTTAAAAAGCAGTGGAAGAAATAAGAAAGCAAAAGATGTTCAGAATCAACAACATAGAAATTTAACCTCTGTGTCTCAGAAATAAGCTTGTATCCACAACTCAAATACAGAGGCAAATATGTTAGGAATATATTTCAATAAATATGTAAAAGATTCATCTCTTTAATATATAAAAGGTTCATACAAACAGATAAGAAAAATACTAAGATGCCAATGGTTAAATGGATAAAGAACAGAAATAAACAAGAGAGGGAAATATAAATGGCCAGCTAATGAGAAAACTGTTCAACCTCAGTAGTGATCAAAGAAGTCAGAATGAAAACAAGGAGCTGTCACCACTTGCCTTTCAAACTGTCGCAGATGTCTGCATTCACTTCCAAGATGGGCTGTCTCCCCACATCCCAACTCACCCTCCCCAGTCCACTCAGCACTGGAGTTCTAAGACATCACACCATGTCACTTCTCTGCCTTAATATTCCTTTACAGGCTCTCGGATGGTTAATTGGGCCCCAACACAAGTGCCAGCTTGTGGTCTGACCCGCTCCCCCCCACCCATCTCCCAGCCCTTCTACGCATATCTCAGTTCTAGTCTTAGGGAACTTGTGTGGTCATTTCCAGAACTATTTCACACCTTGGTGCCTTTCCCAGTACTGTCACTGGTTCCTCGGAGACCAACCTTCCCCCTCATCCTATTCCATTGGGAAGCCTTCCTTCCCTGATGCTGCTGGTCTCCTTTGGACGTCCTTCTTCCTGTTCTTGGTGCACCCTTCATTCCAGTGTCACAGCACCAAGCACACGACATCACCAACGCTCATGTACTTGCTTTTCTCCTTCACTGGCCTGTGAGCTCCTTGGGGCAGAGGATTATGTCTTACTCATCTGTAAAGTCCCAGCACTGTACCCAGAGTCAAGTGTGTATGAATGTAACGTATGTATATGTATGCATGGATGAATGAATGAATGAATGGACGACATACAAGCAGGGCCATGAGCAAACTGGAGTGAGAGACAGCTGAGAATGGACCAGGTGAGGCTGGCCACCTTACCTCCCGAAGGGCATTCTGGGCTGCACAGTACCAAGCCCGGCTCACGAGGGAGGCCTCTTTCTGATCTGACAGAGGCAGAAAGCTCAGAATATGTGTGAGCATCTGAGGGAAAAAGACAGGGCATTGGGAACTATTAGAGCTGGGGGTCCTTGGAAACTTCTCCAGCTAATAGTGCAGTCAGTCTGAGGGGACTGGAACACTGGCTTCTAGTTCATCTTGAGTCCTAAGCTTCATGGGGTCTTCACTTCCCCCTCTCTGGCCTCCAGGCATCTCTACTGTGAACAAACCTTTCCTAAGTCTTCCCTGGATGCAAGTTTGTACTGACTGATAAAAAGCAAACTTCCCACTCAGTTTGGTAAAAAGAGCCTGGGCATTAGGACCAGATAAACCTAGTTCAAATCCTTACTCTTATCGACTGACCTCTCTGAGCCTTGTTTTTCCTAATCTGTAAAATGGCAATGGTAGTGAGGTTTAAATGGGTTGTGCTGAGAATTTAATAACATAGTAAAGGGTCGGAGCGCCTGGGTGGCTCAGTTGGTTAAGCATCTGCCTTCGGCTAAGGTCATGATCCCAGCGTCCTGGGATTGAGTCCCGAATTGGGGTTCCTGCTCAGTGGGGAGCCTGCATCTCCCTCCTCCTGCTCTTGTGCTCTAGCTTTTTCACTGTCTCTTTCAAATAAATAGAATCTTAAAAAACGAGACATAGTAAAGTGTCTTGCCTAAGACCTAGGCCAGCAAGTTAGGTATCCTCCTCTGATCTTTGGAAACCATATCCCTTCCTCCTGCCCTCAAAGGTCAGGCTATGGGTCCTCCCTCTTTCCCCATTTTCTCCACTGTCAACTCGCCTTCTCAGCTGGCCGTTATGATCCCCAATAGGACCCAGCTCAGGCCCTCACTGCACCTATGCTCTGTAAGGCTGGGGGTCATGAGGTTGGAGGCCCTACAGGGAACTGGGGAGGGAGTCACTTGTGAGGCCAGGAATGATCTAATATTAACTGTTCTTCTGGAATTTTCCCTCTTGGACTCTTGTGACATTGTTTTTTCTAGAGCTCCACTCTCCAACTCCAAATGCCCTGTTTCTGGAGTCTTCTGTGGCTCCCATGGCTCAGACCTGGTCTTTCAATCTGTTTACTTCCTAGGATAATAAGTTCATTTGCATGGCTTCGACAGTTACCTCTACAGGAAAAACCAACAATTCAGTATCCCCATATTGTCTCACCATTCATGTGCTAGTCTAGTGTTGCCAATTGTCCACAGGATCCATCATCTAAATGTTTTACTATCACTTTCATCTCAACCAAATTCACATTCTCAGTCCAAAACATCCCTTGCTCCCAACGTTCCAGCACCTGAGCTTCAGTGCCACTAGTGCATCTTGCCTGAAGATCCTGATAATACTGCGGACTCTTCATGCTCTTCTGTCTCTTGCTGTCAGATACAGGTGTACAGCACAGGCTTAGGCCAGGATAACTTAGACTCATTCAAATCCCAGCTCTAGGAGCACCTGGGTGGCTCAGTGGGTTAAACCTCTGCCTTCGGCTCAGGTCATGATCTCAGGATCCTGGGATCGAGCGCTGCATCAGGGGCTCTGCTAAGCGGGGAGCCTGCTTCCTCCCCTCTCTCCGCCTGCCTCTCTGCCTACTTGTGATCTCTGTCAAATAAATAAATAAACCTTTAAAAAAACAAAAAACAAACAAATACCAGCTCTACTACTTCCAAGCTGTGGGACCTATGTGACCTCAGGTAAGGTAACCGACCTCTCTGAGCTTCCGTTTCCATTACACACACACACACACACACACACACACACACACACACACACATTATGATGTGCTTGACACTTAGTAGATGTTCCATAAATGCTTGCTGGACTGCTGTTACTAATATTTCTACCTTTGAAATTTTAGCACCTCAGTAGCCCAGATCTTTATCACCACACACCTGGATTCCTTCTACAATCTTCCACCTAACCTCCTTGCCTCCAGGCTCAGCCTTGCTAGTCAATTTGCACACAGTGACAAGGTTAATTTTCCTTAAAAAACAGCTTTTACGGGCACCTGGGTGGCTCAGTGGGTTAAAGCCTCTGCCTTTGGCTCAGGTCATGATCCCAGGGTCCTAGGATCGAGCCCCATGTCAGGCTCTCTGCTCAGAGGGGAGCCAGCTTCCTCCTCTCTCTCTCTCTCTCTCTCTGCCTGTCTCTCTGCCTACTTGTAATCTGTATCTGTCAAATAAATAAATAAATAAATAATAATTAAAAAAACCAAAACAGCTTTTAGTCTTAGCACATCCCTGATGAAAACCTTCAGGGTATCCAGTACTCTCAGGACAAAATCTCCACTCTTGGGTCAACGAGACCCCAAGCAAGACCCTGCCAGGCCCTATGCCTGACTGGACCCCTGACCCCAGAGCTTCCCCAGTTCAGGCTTCCCATTGTCCTACAGCCATACTATGCCTATTAACTTTTGCCTATGTAGGCCTCTTTCCAGGAATGCCTTTCCTTAACCTTGACGTCACCAGCCCATTCTAACCTCTTCTTCCTTTCTTTGATCCCTAACACACAGAAGTTACTTAGCCAATAGTCATTAGATTGAATTAAAGATGGATAGTGCTCTATCTCTATTTTCACCAAAGCCCTCTACCTCAATTTTCACCAAAGGTTTGCCCAGGGAAGGAGAGGGGAAGATAAAGCAGATCACTACTGAAAAGATTGGGGAGAACCGCCTTCTGGGTCAGGAAAGCTAGGCATGGGGAAGAGAACACTGATGAGATTGGGACTGACTAAGCCCCCAACCCCAGGGGGAGGCAGGGAAGCCTGTCTGAGCCAAGTTAAGACAGTGGCCATCCTGTCTTCTGGGGCTCAGCAACCAACCCAAAAAAGCAACAGGAGAGGGCAATAAACTGTCCTCACTGAGGGGAGGGAGCATGGCTCTTTGAGTTGAGAAAGGGGGTAGCTTTTCTAGAGGAAAGAGGAGGCAATGGTAAGGATGGAGCCACCATCCCATTAACCCGATCCTAAGGGGCTACTACTAGAGATATGACTGGTTATTCCTGGGATCTATGTAGTAGACATCCTTTGGTGCCCAGGAGATAATGGATGCCATGGCAGGTGGCTAAAGGAGGTAGAAGCTGTCCTATTCTTGCTAAGGGGAAGAAGCACCGTTCCAGGGCTGATGAGGAAAGGGTGACTTGTCTCCCGTGGACCAAGGGAGGGGGCTGCCAACTTTCAAAGCAAAAGGGACAGAGAGGCCATCCCCAAGAGCCCCTGGGAACAAAAATCTATTCTCTCTCTCTGGCCAGTGGCGGCAGAGTGGCCTTGCTCCAAGCTAAGGAAAAGGAGCAAACATCCCATTGGGTGAAGGAGGTAGGGACAGCCATCACTACGGACTGAGGGAGTGGGGAGAAGCCCTGTCCTAGGCGAAGTAATCCAGCGACTGTGCCCGGAGTTGATGGAAGGGTCAGTCTGTCTCCCACCGCCAGGGGGATGGGGCAGCCGTCTTTCTGGGCAGAGGGAATGATCATCCCAAGGGGCCAAGGAGGATAAGATCGGTTACCCTTCGGGGACGACGGGATGGAACGGACATCTTCCAGAACTGAGGGGGAGGGGTGGCCATCTCTTGAGAAGGGGGTAGGCAGAGACCCTGTCCTCGCTGAGGTGACACGACAGCCATCTCCTGGGGCCGATGGGTAAGGAGAGAATGGTTTCCCCAAGCTAAGGGGACGGGATGGCCCAAGGCGGGGCCGTTACCCACAGCTTGCAGGTCCTGCGATCTCGACCTCTCGGGCAAGTAGTTTCCGCCAGGCGGGCGGAGCCAGGCGAGCTGTCTGACAGCCCCTCCCCACAACCTGGGACCCCGAGGGCGGAGCCTGTCCCAAGCCGGGCCTCAGGGCGGCCTCCTCTCACCTCCAGGGGCAGCGACTCCGCCATCGCATCCCTGCCGCCTCCGCCCCCATGCAAGGCCTTCTGGGAAGTGTAGTCTTACCGACTCTGGGTGCGGGGAGGGACTGGGAAGGAAGTGGACCCTCCCCACTTCCGTCACGGTTGTGACGATTTGCGTCTGCACCGGAAGTGCCTGTACTGCCGATGTGGTACTTACTGACCACAGTTTCGGTTGCTCTCCCTTGTTTTCCTCGCTGGTTGTTTGCGTCGCGCCATGGCGGTAAGGAGGGCGGATAGGGCGGGGTTCGCAACGGCAGAGGATTCCCGGGTCCGGGAGACTAAAAACAGAGGAAGGACATCGAAGGAAGCGGATCTGCCAGAGGGGGGCGCCATGCAGTGGCCAGACCATTCTAGAGATAGCGGGGTAGGGGGAATGGAGCGGCCCACTGCCATAGCAGAAGTAGTGCGGGAGGGGAGTGGGCGTCAGTACCAGATTGTACCAGACCTGATAGGAGACCTTAGGGGCTTGTGAAACGGGTGGGCGTCAGTCAAGATCTGGAGGGGCGCACTATTCAGTGCCACTCAGGAGCTCCCCTTGAAGGGGTAGTCAGCCCAAAGCTGGGTCTCAGCAGGAGAGCTGGGAGATAATCAGCCTAGTGTTGGATTGTTCCAGGGTGAGCAGGAGGCGATCATCGGTAAAGGTGTTGCACAGATAGTGTCAGCCCTAAACAGGGTGGACTGGAGGAGGGGTGGGCATCCCAAGGATTGTGCTAGATTTAAGCACCATGGGGACCTGGCTTAGGTGCAGGTCTAATTCTGTACCTGACCAGACTGGGGAGGAGGGTGAGGAGGACCCTGGCTGAGGAGGGCTCTGACAGCATCTTACCATCCCTCTGTAGCCCAAGGGCAAAGTGGGCACGAGAGGGAAGAAGCAGATATTTGAAGAGAACAAAGAGACTCTGAAGTTCTATCTGCGAATCATACTGGGGGCCAATGTAAGTACCTACCTCTTTGCCTACCCTAGATCCCACAGTCAGCTCTGGTGTGTGGGGTAGGGGTGGGTGGTGTGTGACAGCCATGTGTAGTTTTCAAAACTGGAATTGAAAAGAAATGAAAATGGGCCACCTGGGTGGTTCGGTTGTTAAGCGTCCGCCTTCAGCTCAGGTCATGATCCCAAGGTCCTGGGATCAAGCCCCGAGTTGGTCTCCCCACTCTGTGAGAAGCCTGCTTCTCCCTCTCCCACTCCCGTTGCTTGTGTTCTTTCTCTCGCTGTCTCTCTCTGTCAAATAAATAAAATCTTTTTTTAAAAGATTTTATTTATTTATTTGAAAGAGATCACAAGTAGGCAGAGGGGGGGCGGCAAGCAGGCTTCCCGCTTAGCAGAGCCCCCAGTGTGGTGCACCCTGAGATCATGACCTGAGCCGAAGGCAGAGGCTTAACCCACTGAGCTACCCAGGCCCCCCTAAATAAATAAAATCTTAGAAAAAAAAAGAAAAGAAAAAGGAAAAAAGAAATGAGAATGGATCTGGGCACAAAGAAAGTGCCGAGTAGTCAAAACAAAACAAAATAAAAAATGAGAGGAGGGTTTGAGAGTCAGATGGACTTGAGCCCAGTCCATCCCACCCCAGATACACAGGGCCTTCTTTCTTGGGCTGACATATCAGAGGGAATTCTGGGTGCTCAGAACTCAGGGAACAGACCCCTTTCACCCACCAACCCTAAGAGAAACAACTGTCTCTTTCCACAGCCTGGCCTAACTCTTGGTCAGAGTCAAGGAAAGCCCGTGGTTTAGGGTATCTTTTGATCACAGCCTGATCGTATATCTGCTTACAGGCCATTTACTGTCTTGTGACCTTGGTGTTCTTCTACTCATCTGCCTCATTTTGGGCCTGGGTAAGTGTCCCCTATCCTGGGAAGTGGATAAGCTTATAGGATTTCTGGCTAGCCTTTGATACCATTCTTTTTCTGCAGATGGCCCTGGCCTTTAGTCTGGCAGTATATGGGGCCAGCTACCACTCTATGAGCTCGATGGCACGGGCAGCCTTTTCTGAGGATGGGGCCCTGATGGATGGTGGAATGGACCTCAACATGGAGCAGGGCATGGCAGAGTGAGTGTCCCCCGCTGCCAGCCCAGGTGAGCGGCCCCAGGGCTGGGGTGTTGGGGCCCAGATAGCCCAAGACCCACAACTGCCTGCAACTTGAAGAGGGTAGAAGGGAGATGAACTGGGGCCCATGTACTATTTTTGGCCCTTTCAGCCTCCCTTCTATCCACAGGCACCTTAAAGATGTGATCCTACTGACAGCCATCGTGCAAGTGCTCAGCTGCTTCTCCCTCTACATCTGGTCCTTCTGGCTTCTGGTGCGTGGCTTGTAGGGCTTCCAGGAGGGGGCTGGAGCATCTAACCCTTCCCTTCTTTCATTTCCTGTGCCTGGCTTCAAGTTCCCTTTTCTGTCCTAGGCTCCAGGCCGGGCCCTTTATCTCCTCTGGGTGAATGTGCTGGGTCCTTGGTTCACGGCAGACAGTGGCACCCCAGCACCAGAGCACAATGAGAAACGGCAGCGCCGACAGGAGCGGCGGCAGATGAAGCGATTATAGCGAGTGACATTTTGGCCACAGGCTGCATGGCCCCCTGCCAGGAGCAAGGAGGGCCTAGTCCAGGGCCCAGAAGCAGTCTAAGGTATAGGATTGTTGAATAAATGGCTCAGAATGTGGCTAATGGCTGTGTGGGTGATAATGGAATGGCAAGGCAGGAAGAGCCAGTCCTTTGGTACTAGCCTCCAGCTGCAGACCGAGTGTGGTGGGTACCTTGAAAAAAAGAAAAGGCGCTTGGGTTGGCTATGAAAACTTTATTATACTCCATGTGTTCAGGGAGCTTATACAAGTACGTGTACAAGTACACACACACACACGCACACACACACACAAACACACACACACTTGCACACAGGCACGCATAGCTAATACTGCTCAAGGCATTGTCCACTGGGCACAGAGTGGCCCTGGGGTTGGAAAGAGGCCCAGAATTCTGCCGATCCCTCCTCACTCTCTAGTCTCTTGCACTGCAGGCTGGGGCCCCAGTAGGTAGGTGTCCAGAGGCAGGGCCTTCACACCTCCAGGCCAGGACCCTTGCTCAGTCCCAGGGCCTGTACCAGGTCCTCTCCGAGCCCGCTCTTCAGTGTCCGTCTCACTGCAGGGACAGAGCAGGTTGGAGGGGGTTGATGGAATAAAGGCGGGTGGTGGGCGTTTGGGAAGTACTCACAAGACTTGCGGTTGCCCCGGGAACGTTTGCGCTCCCGAGCAGCTAAGGCACGAGGACTGCTCTTGGTCACTGACTGCACCAGCAAATCCATGATCTCATCGGAAGTGTCACTGGGTAAATTGGAGCCTGGGGGTTCTTCTGGGGGTGCAGTGGAGGGCCCTGTTGCTATCGGCGTGACTGGGGAGCTGCTCTGGACCATGCCTAAGGGAGGCCAGACGGGGAAGTCAGGTCACAGTGACTGCAAAGCCCATTGCTCCCAGTGGCCACAGGTCCCACCTCTGCTGCGGCGGCCATGTGTGGTGTCCTCCGGCTTGCTGGTCAGCAGACTCTTCATGCTGGCGTGACTGTCGGCATCACCCCGCCCTGGCCCACTGCCCACAGCCATTGGGACAGATGGGTGATTGGGGGCTTCCCCAGCCACACCTGAGAACTTCTCTGTCTGCAGAAGAGAGAAGGATGAGCTGGGAGCAGGGGAAGGGAGCCACAGGGCGCGGTAGGCCAGACCTGGAAGGGTGCCCACCTCCGTGATCATGCGGCCCCGGGTCTTGTTGCGCTCCCGGTAGGTGGCACGCTTCTGCTGCTGCTGCAGCACCCGTTCCCGGCACGTGCGGTACTCAAGGGCAAACTCGCGCAGCGTGTGGCAGAACTGCATGATGCGCACTTCCCGGGCCGCGGGTGCCGTGTAGCCCAGGTACAACAGGAAGGCGTGGAACCTGGGCCGGGTGGGGGAGGGAGGGATGGTGAGTCCCGCGTGGGGTTTGAGGGATGGCGGTGGCGGTCCTGCCTCTCTGGCCCACGTGCCTACCTGTTGCAGACACGGCGGTGTACTACCCGCAGCATGGCAACACGGCGACCACACTGGGCCAAGAAGTGGGTGAGGCGGGCACGCAGGGCTGGGGACAGCTCATGCTTGGCCAAGCTCCGTAGGCTCTCCTCAGTTGCCCGGCTCCGACGCTCCAGCTGCCCCAAGTTCTCAGTCAGCTGCTCGAAGTCCACCTGGAAAAGCAGGGGGTACATGTGCTGTCATCCCCCCACAGAAAGGCACTACTTGTGCCTGCCTCCGTCAGGTCAGCCGGCTTGGGCCCTGATAGCCAAGACCTGCCTCCTGCCCTCCAAAAGCACACAGTCTACTGTAGGAGACAGACAAGTCCATTTAATCTAATGTGGAACAGAGAATCTTTCTTGGGGGAAGTGGTGGCTGAATGGAGACCCAAAGACAGTAGGTGTGTGTAGCCAGGCCAATAGAGGAAAGAGTGTTTCTGGTCAAGGACACAGCCCATGCAGACACCTCTAGCTGAGCACACTCCGGCACAACAGCCCAAACTGTTGGGGAGGGAGAGCCAGCCCCAGGAAGCAGCACACCCTCATTTCCACGGCTGGGCTTAGTCAAGCCTCTGGCTGGTGCTAACCTTGGCACAGCGGGTCAGGGCAGGGATTTCTGAGTAGAGGTCCGAGGAATCAGGCCGGGTCTGGAGCACCAAGGAGCAGAGATGGTGCAGCAATGACTGCCGGCGCACTGTGTCCTTCACCTCTGACACCTTCTCCAGGTAGCTCAACTCGAAGCCGCTGCTCTGAAAGGGCTCCATCTGAGCCTGGGCCCAGCTGGCTCCAGGGCCCTGGCCCCCAGCCCTCGTGTGCTGCCACTCACCTGGGAACCGTTGAGGAAGTTGCCCACAGCCAGGAGAGTGGCCAGGATGCAGCGGAAGGTGGCATTTTGTACCAGCTGTGCCATGCCCACTTTCAGGTCAAATAGTGGCTCTGCGATTTCCTGGAGTGGGAGGTGATGGAGGGACTCTCAAATTACCTGGTCCTCATGCTCACTGGGCCCAGGTTCTGCCCCACCCCATAATCCAAGTACCCGCTCCATGCTGTCGTAGTCCAGCTTGAAGGCCCAGAGTTGTAGGCGGGCGGCCAGGCCCCCAATGGAGGCAAGGGTCATCAGGAAGTTCTCAGCTGGGCCCAGGGGTACGTCGGGATTGGCTAGCTGGGCCTCCTCGATCTTCTGCCGTTCCTCCTCCGTGGGCATCATAGTCAGCAGTTTCTGAGGATGCAGCCACCACCCCAGAGTCCCTTCAGTCCTGGCCTGAGGCTTTAGGCATTGGTTTGGACTCGTCCCTAGGTCATCCAGGGGATCCCCAGGGTCTGGGGACTGCTCTAGAAATACCAAGCCCATGCCCACCACTGGAGGGACAGGAAATGCCCACTGACCAAAGGAGAGGGCCAGACCGCCCACCTCCCTCCCACCCCCCTAGCTGGTATCCCCACCTCAATGCCATCCTTGCTGACAGCAAACTCATCAAAGTTGAGCAGGGCAGCCTTAATGACATGCACAGGTGGCAGGGTGGTTAGGCCAATGTTGATGGCGTTGCTGCGCTTGGGGTCCAGCACTGTGGTCATTGTCCGGCGGCCCTCACCAGCTTTCTTTAAGGTTGGGGAGAAGGGTGGTAATGAGATTGGGAAAAGAACTAGCTGGGGCAACAACTGAAGAGGGCACTCTTAAATCCCCCTTCTAAATGGCCAGATGGTGGGGTCCCCCCACAACCAGGGATCTGGGATGTGTAAGGCCTTGGGATGAGTTGAGATTCTAGTTAGGGCTCTGCTGATACCTTGTTGAGAGACCTTGGACAAGACTTGATGCCTTTCTTTGCCTCGGTTCCCCCATGTGGGAAATGAGCGGCAGTTCAGACCCTTAAGCTCTGATTGCCTCCTGTCTCCACTGGGGTTACCCTGCAGATGAGGGTGGGTTTACCTTGGAAGGCAGCACGTCCTTGGCACGGGACTCAAACAGGTGTTCCAGCCTGGCTGTGTCCACTGAGACAGGTTCCAGTGAGGCCCACAGGGTGGGGCAAGGCCCAAAACGGCTCCCAGAGCCTCCGTGGCCCCCAGCCAGCTTTAGCTCCCGCCAGAAGAGTTTTACTGTCTTCCTCTTGCTGGGGAGGGCTAGACCATCAGGTGCTGAGGGAGGAAGTGGGGCGGCCGGAGGTGGAGGTGGTGAGAGTGAGCCTTTGATGGGTGGGGGAGGTGGGGGTGGAGGAGGCGGGGGGCCTCCAGAGAGCGCAGGCAGTGGGGGTGGTGGGGGTGGGACCCCTTTCACAGCCTCCACAGCCTCCACATTCAGCATGTCCTCGTCTTCATCCTCCCCCAGATCTGAGAAGTCCAGGTCTCCAATGCAGAGCTTGGGTACACGGATAGGAAACTCCTGAATGGGCTCAGCCTTGGGGCTTGGTGGGGCCAGTGGCACCTTGGGCTCTGGCTCAAGGCTCCGCTGGGCCCGGAGCAGACCTCGGGGGACAGGGCTCTGGGGTGTTCTGGGTGCAGAGCCTGGTTCTGGGGAGCCCCATAGTTCCCGGGTATCTAGAAAAGAGAAGCAGCTGTTAGCATCATGCCCTCTGTGGAGCAACAGGGCAACACGAGTGGATTCTACCCACCTGCCTACTTACCTGGGTGTCCATCGGCCTCATCGGCCATGGCCCCAGCCAGTGTCTCTGCCCGGCCCTGGGCCAGTGCAGCCTGCTTCTCTGTTTCTGCCGCTGCCACATTCTCCAGGAACCGGGCTCTGGAGGGAGGCACTTGTCAGTGAGGATGTCTGACACAACCTAGCCCAGGGTGGTGTACATGCCTTACTGGGCCCCTGGGCACTGCCCCAAATTGCAGGCACACACAGACACACAGGGGAACAGTCCATGCGCTGAGCAGACCCAGGACTTACCCCCCAAGGCCAGTCCCTGTTCAGTCCTCCATATCTGGGGAGGGTCAGTACCAACAAAACATCCTCAGGTCAACATATGGGGAGAAGTTCTGCTTAACGTCTAACATGCAACCTTGCTGCTGTTCATGTTCACTGTCTTGATTCTAGACAAGGACTCTCAGAGCAGGGGAAGGGGACAGCTGTCTCATGCCTGGTAGCTCAGAGAGCTATGACCCATGCCCAGAAAAGGGCCTAGCAAACAACAGGCTTTAGCTTGCGAGTCTTATGCTTTACTGACTGAGCTACCACAACAGGCACTCAGTTTATGTGGAAGTACTGAACGTGATCCAGTGTCTTTTTCCAGCCCCTCCAGCCTCTTTCGGCCCTCGGTCCCTGCCCTTCCCTCAGTCCGAGGTTGTTTCTCTTCCCCCACACCGTACAGCACCCTAGACACCCTAGATAGCTTATCCTGCCTTCTTCCTGGGAGAATGGGCTCTAGGTTGGGAGTCTGTGTCCTCATTTCTGGTTGAGGCTGTTAAGGTGTCACTATCAAAGCACAGGGACCACTATGGAATTGCTTCCCTACCCCTAGGATAACAGAGGAGGCATATATCTGGGAGAGGGTGGGCCTGAGAGTCCCCCAGCTCTGCGGCATGAGGCACATGGAACCCCTGCTGGGGGAAGCAATGCTGAAGCCCTGAGCACGTGGCAGGCCTGGCGGGTTGGCCTCTGTACTTACTCCAGCCTGGCCTGCTCAGTAGGGGACTGAGGGACAGGTGGGCTCTCTGGGGCCCTGGGTGGGGGGGATGAGAGGAAGAGATGGTAATTGTGGTGCCTGCTCCACTCCAAAGCCCAGCTGCTCATACCCACCCAGAGCTGGGCGGTAATACCAGGGGTTCTTTCCCAGCCCCCGCGGGAAGGGGAGGTATGGAGGAGGCAGGACATGAGGAAACTGGAAATGGATGGGAGAGACTGACACGAAGCAGGACAGGGAGCAATAAGAGACAAAGACAGAGCAGAACAAGAGAGTCAAGGGATAGCAACAGAGAAACAAAGAAGGGGGGCCAGGGGATAGATGACAAAGGGGCAGGGACAGGTAGAATGCCAGAAAGAGATGAAGACAAGCAGCAGGAGGAGGAGAGAGAGCAGAACCCCACCTCTCAGCAGTCACTTACCAAACAGGAGCAGTTTGGTGAAGTCTGGAAAGAAAGAGAAAGCACGCGTTTGGGCAGAGGAGTTTGGGCAGAGGAGGCGGAGGGGCTCAGAGTGCAGGGACAGCTGGAGAGAGGACTCTAGGGGCAGTCTCTATCTCCCTGCTTACTTGTAGATGCTCCTCTCACTGGAGCTGTCGGCTGAGGGCCCCACAGAGATGGCAGGAAAGAGGTTCACTGAGGTACAGAGGCCAGAAGCTGGGCCCGCAGGTTTAGGGGCCAGGCTGGTCGACAGGGCAGGGCCAGCGGAGTAGGTGGAGATTACTGCCGAGGAGGGGTCCCCGGGGCTCGAGGTGGAGTCCCCTGGGCTTGAGGGGCCTGTCCGAGGTGAGGCAGGGCCTGTGCGGCCAGTTGCGGGGCCTGCAGGGCTAGAGGCGGGGCCTGTCAACTGACAAGGCCACTGCTGGGCGGATCCACCCTTCCCCATGTGCCAAGGCAAGTTCTCTCTTACCCAGGCTCCGAGGGGCGCACAGGGCAGCCCCCGCCTTCTAGAGACCGGCGGCTCCTCTTGCCCTCCTCCGAAGAGGGCTTTCTGCGTTCCCGCCGCCCACCTGCAGTGGCTTCCTCAATGTCTCCATCCTCCAACCGCAGGGCATTCTAGTGGAGGTGGACCCAGATGTGAGCCGCTGAGACCCGCATAGGTAGGGTGGGGTGCTGGGGAACTGCGCCTCTTCCCTCCCTTCCAGCCGCGCCCAGATGGCCCAGCCTACCTCATAGAGCACAAGCTGTGTGCGAAGGTCGAAATCAGTCCCCGATGCGCCCAAGTGGCGCTGGACCAGAGCTTCCATGCCCTGCTGCTCCAGTGCATCTGTCACATCATAGAAGGAGTCCTGGTCTGGAAGCGCTGCCAGTGTCTAGAGGGTGGGGATGGGAGGGCAAGGCTAAGGCTGATGGAAACCGGAAGTTAGGAGCTTTAGGGGCCTAGAATTGGCACCTGGTTCTCCCCCCTTCTCAGGGCCCCTCCCACCTTGTTGATGAGAGTGACCGTGTACACCAACAACTCGGGGTCAGCACCATTCTTCTCCTCCAGGATGGACACCAGATTGGCCCAAGGAAGACAGCCTGACACAGAAAGGGGAGCGATCATGCGGGGACAGGTAGGAGAGAGGGCTCTGAGTGGTTGGAGGAAGGGACACTCTCTCACCTGTGGAGCTGGCCACAGAGTTGACGGCACGGATAAGCAGCGGCGCATTGCTCTCCGAGTACTCCACAAATACCAGCAGCAGCTTCAGGGCCGTTTTCACCACCAAGCGGGACTGGGGGGAGGGGTCACCACATATGAGTGGGGCTTGGGCCAGACTTGTGCCAGCTCCTGGTGGGGAGGGTTAAGGGCTTCTGGGGCTGGACCCAGAGAGGAGAGTCTAGGCACAAAGACCCTGGCCCCAGACCCAGGTCTTGGAGAGCCTTCTAGGCTTAGAGGAGCCTTAGACTCACTCCATTCCAACCCATTTTGAAGAAGAGGAGACTGAGGTCAGAGAGAGGCAGTGGGAGAAGGGTGCATGGCTGTGTGGAGGGCCACTTACCACGCTGGCACACAGTGTGTACAGCCACTGCACAGTCTCACTGTGGGCCACCACCCCCAGCATCCCATCCACAAACAGCATCAGCTGGCCTAGTGCTGGGGACACAGGGACAAGACAAGGTCAGGTAGGGGTTGCCAAAGGCAGGGGTCATGAGGGAGGAAAGGGGCTGACCTCGGAGGATGTAGCTCTGGTAGTTGTGGTCGGCAGCAGCGCCCACACGGATCAGGCAGCTCAGCCCCTCTGAGTGCACAAATTCTGGCACCAGGTCCTTGTCCTCCTGGGGACACCATGGAGGAGTTTAAGCAGGGCTCAGGCTGGACGCCCAACCCCAGCTCTCTTCTGGGCCTCACCTGGAAGATCTGCTTTAGTGAGAAGAGGGAGCGACGCAGCTCAGGGCCACTGGAGCCATACAACTTTTCTGCAAGGGGTAGGTGGACATGGAAACCTCAAGGGGGCACAGACACCCTCTTCTACTGGAACACAATCCCCCACCAAAGAGTATTCTAGTACTCTTGAACCCCCAGCCTCCTCCTCCACTGCCTGACTCTGGGCAACCCCCATCGCGGTTTAGCTGCAGCATCAGCCCTTGGCCCTGGAAGGAGAGGTCAGGATAGGAATGGGGAGGGGCTGCACATCTTGTCTCCCATATGCCTTGTCCATTGTCCAGCACAGGCCCGAAAGAAATTGAGCCAGTGGGGCTGGGGAGGGGGGATTCCTGGACTCTAATGCCCTCATACACTTACCCAAGATGGCATTGACCCTCACAGAGAGTTGAGTACGCAGGATGAGTGTAGGCTTCCGCCCTTTGCTGGAATCAAGTAGCCTAGTCAGCAGTTTCCAGGCCATTCCTCAAGGGTCCCTGCTCCCATACCAGAGCAGCTAAAGACCACTCCACATGCCAACCCTGGCCCAACTCCTTCCTTCCTAACAAGAGGATGTGTGCAAACATAGGTATCTCAGGTATGTGCAAGAGCCCCTCCCCCCCAGTCCCGGGCATCAGGTAACACTGGCTAGGTCTTGGGATTCCCTTTGCACACAGTCCCCTGGGGTGGCAGAAGGTAACCCATACCCCAGGCTAGAGATCAGGTGTCCTGGCCGCTGACACCTGAGCCAGCCCCTGGTGGAAGCAAGGTTGGGGGCCAGCCTTGCTTCCCCTTCCCATCAGCTCTGACCTGATCTCTTCATAGAAGCTCTCCAGCATCTCCCGCTGCTCTTCCAGAGACAACTCGGGGTCCAGGTAGTATCCAGAGGGAGACACTTGGAGGGCACAGTCCTCCAGCTGGGGACAAAGGGAATAGCTATCAGGGGTGGGAAAGAGGTGGCAGGGGTATTTCCGAAGACCCTATGACCTCCCGACCCCCACTCAGGGAGCTGGCAGAGTGGCAGACCACAGGGTGCGTTGCAGCCTCGAATTCCTCCAGCAGCCGTTTCTTGCAGGCCTGCTACATGCAGTGCAGCCCCCGCAAGATGCCAGGCTTTCTGGCCCTTAGCACGTGCTGTATCTTCCAGCTAACACCTACCCAGTCTGTAGGTTTCAGATCAGGTAATGGTTTTTTGGAACGCTCTCCTCCACTCCTCTAACCAATGCTATGCAACCCATTCCATCCCATGTGTGCAGCTCCGTGTGAGGTCTTCCGCAGAGCGTGATAATATCCTAGACCCTACTCTTCTTCCCCACTAACCATGGGTTCTCTGGGTTCAGGCACCATGTCTGTCTTGCCCTATGCCATATCTGCAGAGCCCAGCACAGCATTTGGCTCACACTAAGTGCTTACTAAACACTGTTGAGCTAATGAACGTGAATAAGGAAGGGGAATAGAGAGAAGATGGGAGGAAGTTCCTGCTTTCGAGGAAGTTCACAGCCCTGGGGTGATAAGCTGCATCCACAAAGCATTCAAGCCCAGGGAGAAAGTGTAAACCAAGCTGGGAGAGGTGTGTGTGTTGTCTCCCTGAACCGACGTGGTGAGGAGCTGCAGGTAATACATGGGGGTAAGTCCCTCTAAGCTTCAGGGTCTTTGCCTGCCCCATGGGAGCTGGACCTCAGAGGCCTCCAAGGGGCCTCTGAAAACCAGGTTTTAGGGTCTGACTCAGTCAGTCTGCACTGGGTCCCTGAAATCTGCATTGTACAAGGCACACGTTCTACCCACGTGTCTGCTTCCCACATATCTCCGCTGCGCCCTGAGCCTGGCTCCAGTCCGCCACTACCAGGCGTGACACTGGCCTCTTGAGAAGTACCTGTAGAGCGGGCTAGTGAAGTGACTCCAGAGAGTTTGAGGGCAGCAGCACTGGGCCTCTTCTGGACACCCCTCCGGTAGCACAGAGCCGGAATGCAGGGCTCAGCAAAGTCCCCTTGAACTGAGTGGTCCTGCTCCTTGATGTAACATGGCCCAGGGAGAGCCCACCTCTGGAGAAGCAGGGTGTTTTCTGGCTTCCCTCTTACTGCGAAAGTCAATCCCATCATTTGTCCTGTTGTTCTGTCAGCCCGCCCTGCTCTGGGCCCAATCCAAAGGCTTCCAGCTGCCCTTGGTCCCCTGGGTGGGGGAAGGGAGTCCAGAACCTGCCCCTACCTCTGTTTCTGCTTTGCACCCCTGCTCACGCCTGAGAACCTGACCCAGCTCCTTCCTGGCAGTTCAGCCTTGAGGCGCTTGGGTGACACCCCCTCTCCCCCCCGCCCCCCGGGCGCCCCCCCCCCCCCCCCCCCCCCCCGGCTCCCCTCCTCCACCCTGTCTCGCCTGGGACATGGGACATAGGACAAACACTCCAGGCTGTTCTCTGTCCCACTTCCTGCCTGGCTGCCTGCCCTCCCTTGGGCGCCTTGGGCGGGCCTGGCCTCTCTCCCCTCCCTGGGAGCGAAGTCATCTTCTCCAGGGCCTACTAGCAACAGGCCTGAGATGGGGAGGCAAGGCCCCAGGGCTGGGGTGCTCTGTCTTGGGCCAGCTCAGCTGAGGGCAACCCCACATTCTTCCTGATCCCTTTTCCCACATGGTGACTCAGCAGCCTGCCTTCCCCACCCCCATCCAAGCACAGCTGCATCCCCTTCCACCTTGGACTAGAGGATCCTGGGACCCTAGAGAAACATATCCACACACCCTGCCCCAGCCCCAGAGCAACAAATTCCTTCAGGGATCCCCCAATTCACACATCTATAGAATAGCTCACTCATTCAAACATTTATGGACCAGGCTGGTTTGAAGTGCTGAACACACAGCAGGGAAGAAAATAACTGCTCCTTCTCTTCCTGCCTTCCAGCAGAGGCAGGCAGGCTCGCCTCAGGAAAAGGCTACAAATGAATGTAGAAGTATAAGTGCCATGAATGCAAAGCAGAGGGGTGGAGTGCTATGAAGGTAAACACTGGGGGCGATCAGATTATGCCTGGTATGTACTTCCACACCTAGGTTCATGGTCCGGTGTATATATATATGCTCTGCTGGAGCACGGGTCCAAGAAGCACACCCCCACAAAACTCAGCTCCAGCAGGCTCTCCTCCCCTCCTGCAAGCACGTTTGTGTGCTCTCATCCCAAGTGAGCAGAGAATGGCTCTCTCCTTCCAGAATGCCTGCATATACTTGGGGTAAGGTCCTGAAGGCCAAGTGCTCCATCATCAGTGGCCTCCCTAGAGAAGTCCTGAGGTAGCAGCCAGCCCAAAGCCTCCAAGGATGGTGCCCCCCACCCCCAACCCAGCTGCCTGTCCTGGGTGGAGATGGGGGAGGGTGGGCTAAGGTAGCAAAGAACAGAGACTTCCTGCCAGCTGGGTGGTGCTTGTCCCTCACACCCCTGGCCCCTTGCTTGGGTCACCACTCTGAGAGCCAAACCTCTGGGGCTTGTTTCTCACACCCTGGGGCTGAGCCAGGCCAGAATAATCCTGCTGACAGTGCTTAGGGTCCGCACAGGGCCCACGTGGGCCCACATCCTTGACTCCCTCCTGGTTCTTGTCTTGCACGCTTCTCCGTGTCTGTCTTGGAGTGGAGTCCTCTCCCTTCTTCCCAGGCTCAGCCCCTCCCTTTAGCATCCAGCCCACTTTTCTCTTGGTTCTCTGTGCTTAGGCTTTTCTGACAGCCTAAACCAACTCATTCCATATGGGTTTTGTTTTTTTTTTTAAGATTTTATTTATTTGTTGGAGAGAGAGAGAGCACACAAGCAGGCAGAGTGGCAGGCAGAGGCAGAGACAGAAGCAGGCTCCCTGCCGAGCAAGAAGCCTGATGGGGGACTTGATCCCAGCACCCTGGGATCATGACCTGAGCTGAAGGGAGCTGCTTAACCGACCGGCTTTAAATTCAGGGCCAAACTTAGAGGACCATGGTGGTCTACTACCCAGTATTTTTCATTAACTACAAATCAGGTGAGAATGAACACTAGGGGCAGGGAAAGAAGATGGAGCAGAGGGCAGAATTATATGCTGAAGGACTCCTCTTCTAGGAAATAATTTTGCTAACTGCTTTTTTTTTTTAAGATTTTATTTATTTGTTCATGAGATACAGAAGGAGAGAGACAGAGGCAGAGGCAGAAGGAGAAGCAGGCTCCCTGCTGAGCAGGGAGCCCGGGATGCGGAACTCGATCCCAGGACCCTGAGACCACGACCCGAGCCGAAGGCAGACACCCAACCATCTGAGCCACCCAGGTGCCCCATTGCTAACTGCTTTTTTCTTTTGCTTTCCTATAAACATGAGACCCTTGTGGCGCCTGGCTGGCTCATTTGGAGAACATGCAACTCTGGATCTTGGGGTCATGAGTTTAAGCCCCACACTGGGTGTAGAGATTACTTAAACAAACAAACAAACTTTAAACGTGAGATCCTCCTTCTACTGTTATCTTGGGTTTCCAACTAGACCATGACTTCCTGGATGAGACACTATGGATGGGCCTTGAGGAGGGAAATCCACATTAGTTATGCCTCCTCTGTGTCACATACCAGGTTGCTTAGTTGTTTGATTCTCCTGCTATTCCTTTTTTTTTTTTTTTTTTAAGTTTTATTTACTTAAGTAATCTCTACGCCCAAAGTGGGGCTCAAACCCACAATCCTGAGATCAAGCATCAGATGCTTTACCAACTGAGCCAGCCAGGTGCCCCTCTCCTGATAATCCTTTTACAGGTGAGGAAACCAAGGCTCAGAAACTCAGTGAATATGCCCCAGGCTACACAACCAGGAATGGAACCAGGGCTAACTGACCTAGATCTTGGGAGCATGTAGGGTTGCTAAGGGCTGAAGACCACCCCTCAGCTTTCTGGACTCTGCAAATACCCCAAACTGGTCTTTCCAGTTGTAGCAAGGGAACACAAAAGAACACATAAGCATCATACACACCAAGGTAACCGTGCCTACATCTGCAAGGACCTAGGTCCTGGGGTCCCTTACGAGGCTGCATCTCAGGCTCCCTAGCCCGGAATGACCAGTAAATTGGACATGGACGGTGGTCCCAGAGAAAGCTGGGAGAAGCCATGATCATGTCCATATCCCAGTCTTCTAGTTTCCCCCAAAGACCTCCGTATCAGGGAAATAAAGGGCTCAGTTCATCACCAGAGCACCCCATCTTACCCTTAAGACTCATCTGAGACCCCTCCAGTTGGTCCCTGTCCCAGCAGATCAGGTTCACATTTTAGCCCCCTTGCCACATTGCTCCTGAGAGGTAAACTAAGGCTGGAGTACGGAGGGTGCAAGGGAAAGAAACATTCAAGGACAGTGCCACCCCTGTCCTCCTCTAATCTTTAGCCACGGCTGGGGAAACAGAGTTACTGGTGATGGACAGATTTCTAGGGCTATCCCTGCTGCTGTAAGTAGGGGGCTCCTGGGGCCTTTGCATCAGGATCAGAGCGGCACTCAGGTCTCTCTGCCCAGAACCCACGGAGAAGTCAGTGCTGTCTCATACGTGGCAGGGCCTTTAGGTGTCCAAGAGGGGCTCCTGAGGCACTGCCCAGAAGACCAAAATGTAGCAGAGTTCTGGGTAGAGATGAAATGCAGGGCCAGAGGGTCAGGTTCTCCCCTGGGCAGGGGCACGTTCCAGGGCTGAGAGGTTTCTGCACTGAGGGAAGACAGATACTCGCAATATTCCCCTGCGGACACCCAGCGTGGCCCAAGGCACTGCCAGGACCCTCCCCACCCCCCTCACCCCTCCCACTCCCACCCAAGGCCAGGAGATGAGTCAGAGGCTGTGGCAAGGAGCTTCCTCCTAGACTAGGAGGAAATGAGCAAGGCCTTCTCAGATCTGAAAGCTCTAAACGGTTTAAAAAGGAAGCCCCCAGGGGAACTCTAGTGGCTAGGCCCAGCCCAATGGGGTATGTGGGGTGGAGCTCCAGAGAGAAAGTGGGCTGGGCCTTCCTACATTCCCAGGGAGGGAGCAGGGTCTGCAGGGATGATGAAGGTCAGTGCCCAGAGTGGGAGGGCAGATGTCATCTCTTGACTGTGTCCTGTTTCCCTGTTGGACAGATGTACAGAGGATAAAGTATTGAGTGGAGACCCCCTCCTTATTATTTCTGCTCTAGGCCTGGGATGGGAATGCTTGGGTTTCTGGGCCACCTCTTCCCTCTTTAGGGCTATGTAGGCAGGCTTGAGTCATGTCTGTGCCCTTGGGGCATGTGCTTATAGGAGCAGGGGAGGAACCAGCTGTTGATATTTCCTGCAAGGAGCAGCCCTGCTCCCCCTCTCTCAACCCTCTGATGTCCCTGCCCCTACCCTATTCTCAGCCCTTCTTCCTCCAGCCTTCTATTCTGGGGCTGTGGTCACAGTTTATATTTGGGATGAGCACATCACAGTGTATCTGACCATTCCTGGCAGAGCTGCCAGCCCCAGGGAATCCTGGCTACAGGCACAGTGGTAACTCAGTGTGCCCACCAGCATATCCTGCCTGTGGGGGATATGGTAGTCCTCAGGTACACCAAGTGGGAGATCCTAAAGGTGGGGAGACCAGGAATGCCTGAGGCGGGGAGTTTATACTTAACACATTCTACATCTGAGCTCTGTAGTGTCTTTAGCTATGAAGTACAGAGCACCTGGTGCAGCAGGGAGATGGGTCCCTAAGTGAGGGGAAGAAAATGGGGTGGGTTCTTTTCTGTTGCTGACCTCCCAAATCTGCCTCTAATTGGGAAGAGGGCTGTTAGGGCTAAGTCCTGTCCTAGAGTGGGGAGTGGGAGGATTACTGTGTTTTCTGTAGTGCTCCAGGCTTACTTCAGCACCAGGAGCTCCAGGAGCCCGAAGGCAGGAACCTAGACCTGGTTTAACACCCCTCTCCAGCGCCCATCCTGAATTGAAGGTGGCCTCGGGCTGGACGTGATCCTTCCAGGCCCACCTCAGGTTGCCCCTTTGAAAAGGGCAAAACAAAAGGGGTTGCATCAAAACTCTAAAGTGGGCAGTGAGCTGCAACCTTCAAGCCGTGGCCTTGAAGCCCAGGCTCTGCCCAGACACGCGCCACTCCCCCGGCGGATAATCTCACCAACTCTCCCGCCCGCGCTCAGAGGCGGGGCCGGCCCGCAGAGCGAGGAATGCAGGCTGGGGGCCTGGCGCCCGGGGCACATTCCAGGGGAGACCCCGGGCCTGGGGGGCAAGTTTGCGCAACTCGCCTCAGCTAAGGCTGATAACAGGCAGGGCACCCCCGCCAACTCTATCTCCTTGTCCTCACCACTCGGTGTATACTGGCTGGCGGGGAACCCTGGTGGGGGTGGTAGTGCGCCTCCCAGAGTTCTGGTCCGGAAACCCAGCGCGCCGGAAAGCGCTGCCTGCAGGGGGCTGAGCGCAGGGAGCCGGAGGGGAGGTAGGGCCAACCATCTGGAAAAGGGCCTCTCCCAGCGCTGTGCACGAGTCTGCTCCGGGACGCAGGCAAACTAGGGCAGGCTGGCGGTTTAAAATTAGCCCGGCCCGCCCCCTCCCTTCTAGCGGTGGGCCGGCGGCGGCGGGAGTACGGGATGGTGGGGGCGGTGACTCAAAGGGCTTTTCCACCAATGCAGACACCAGCTAGTTCTCGGTGTGTCCCGGGCCGGACCGGTTCCCCTGGACTCATCTCTCCCCGAGAAGCCTCTCTTCTACTGGCACTCCCAAGCAGGGCCCCCACCTACGGAATTAACACTCAACCCGGCAGGACCCAATCCAGCCTCCAGAAACCGCTGGAAGCCTTGGCCGCCCCCAGTGGCCCGCCCCCGGATCCGCCCCTCCTCTTGGTCCCGCCTCACCTCACCTGAAGCAGGTGGAAGCTGGTCCTTCCCCGGCTCCAACTTTTAGTCCGCTACTACCCAAACACCTACTGTCCCTTTATTCAGATCGGTTACCCAGGCAGACAGGCCCCGAAGAGACCCCGAACAACTCCCCAGGTGGGCCTCACTTCGAGGGGCAGCCAGAGTGGCGCAGACCACAAACTCCCATCTCCCTTCTTCAGCTTCCCTCAACTTGAGAGGCGTCCCGCGAAAGCAAGGCAGCGTGGATCTTGAGTCCCCAGCCCAAGACTTTCCCGCAGAAGCGCACCCGCTCCAGCCTCTCCCCGAGGGTTACCTCCCAAAGGCTTTCATGGCGCCATGAACCTTTGATCGCCTCCAGTCTCCCCGGGTCCCCTCACCTTCAGTGGAGCCGCCAGCAGGCGGTGCAGTGCGGGTATCTGCGCACCCAGGGGCAGCGCCCCGTCCAGGCTGCAGGTGGGGGCCCGGCGCGGCTCCGGGAAGTTGGCACATGCGAAGGGGTCGGTGTCCTCCAAGTACTGCACCCGCACAGTCACCACTGATACCGGGTCCCCGTCTCCGCGGTCTTCCTCGCCCGCCATCGTTTGTCACTGGCTCACGCCGCGCCTCCGGGACTGTCCCGGCCCGGCGGCGGCGTCTGCTCAACTAGCTCCGCTGTCTGGGCCGGGTCGGACCGGACGAGGCTGAGGAGGGGCGGAGCCAGGCGGAGGCGGGGCCTAGGAAGGGGGTGGAGCCAAGAGTCTTCCCTGAAAGTGTGGGGAGGAGCAACCACTGCCAGGGGCGGGGCTTGCCGCCAGCCACTCAGAGGGCGCTCTCGTGTTCCCGTTAGCTCACTGGCTCCGCCGGCGGGAAAACCCGAGCTCGAGCCCCGCCTTTAAGAACGTGCCCAGTGCCGAGGTTTCCTTTGGGGTTCTTGGGGATGAGGCTGCCTTCTTGTTGAGGGGGTTATTCGGGCGGGTGGGGCGGAAATTTTTCAGCTAATGGCCGGCCAGGTCTCCCTGAATTTAGGGAGGAGATGGTCCCGATTCCTTCAGTTTGAGGATGAAGTGGATAGGATTCCGTCATTTGGGGAAAGCAGGGAGATGTGTCCCTTTCAGTTTGGAGCAAGAAGTGAAAATAGGTTCCACTCAGTTTTAAGCAAGAAGTGGGATCATTTCCCTTTAGTTGGGGTAAGAAAAGAGACGGGTGGGTGCCCCTCGGCTCTGGGAAAATTGAGGAGGTAGAACGTTTTTCTCAGTTTAGGGTAAGATGTGGGATGGATGCCCCTCTGCTTGAATGAAAAATGGAGACGGTCCTCCTCAGTTTGGGGTGAGATAAACCAAATGCCTCTCAGGTTTGGGGGAAAAGGTGAGTGGATCCCTTTTAGGTTGAAGGTAATCGATAGGCTGGGTTTTCTCATAGTTTAGGGAACGAAGATAGGTTCCCTTCTGTTCATGGAAAAGGTGAGACTTCCTTGTACTTTGACCGAAAGGGAAGCTGGGTGCTCCTCGGTTTGGAAGAACAGCTTCCTTATCAACCTCGAATGAGCTGGGCCCAGTGTGGGCCTTGGAGTTTCTGGGGACTTGAGGAAGGACAGCGTTGTCCATCAGGTCTTTCTGGGAGCGCCCAGTGCGCGTGCGCAGCGCTGTTCTGGGCGGGGGCCTGAAGGGGGTCCTAGGCTCTGGAGGGCGGCGGCGCACTGCCCCCTGCCGTCTGCACGCGGCAGCGGCGGGGCCCGCGCCTTCAGTACCAGCTGCGGTCTCCTCGCCGCCGGTCTGCACTAGCTGTGAGGGAGATGAGCACCTCCGGCCCGCACCCCGCCCCCTGCAGGCCCCCTCCCCTTCTGCGACCGGCTACCGCCTTCGGCTGGTGGGAAGCGGACGCGCCTCCGGAGGGCTGGGGCACCTCACAGCTCTGAAACCGGGTCAGAGGAGCTTTGGGGAAGGTTTGGGGGATTGGACTCGAAGGAATAGGTTTCGGGACTTGGAGAGCTGGACTGGGGGGTTTCCAGAGCTCAGACTGGTCTAGAGCGGGAGGAGCAGGGGTCCAGAGTCCGGACGCCCGGGGCACGGTCTCGGAGTCCGGACCCGGCTTGGGGGTTTCGGAGCTGGGATTGGGGGGAGCGGGCCCCACGTGCTTGTGACGCGGGGGCGGCCGGTAGGCGCGGCGGCGACGCGGGGCCGGCGGCGGTGCGGTGCTGGGAGGGCTGCTAGGCAGGCAGCAGGATGCTGCTCGCCTCACTCCCGCTGCTCGGGCTGCCCCTGGCGGGGGCGGCCACCACTGAAGCTCCCACCCAGGAGCCGGGGTCGTCCGGCGAGCCTCCCCCAGGGCTGGCGCTCTTCCGCTGGCAGTGGCACGAGGTGGAGGCGCCCTACCTGGTAGCCCTGTGGATCCTGGTGGCCAGCCTGGCCAAAATCGGTGAGTGCGTGTGTGTGAGCGCCAGGCCAGCGGCCGGCAGCGGACCCGCCCTCAACCCCTAGTCCCCAGATCTGGGTCGGCTTCTTGCACAGTGCCAGGACTCAGGTTCCGATTCCACAAATCCGGGCTCTCAGAGTTCCTGCGCCCTCTCTTCCTCCTCCCCTCCCCGCGGTGGAGGTCTGAGGTTTGGCCTTCTCTGAGGGCTGCCCCAGCTCTCTCCAGCCTCATCCCTACACTCCTTTGCTCTCTCAGCCCCCCTCCTCCGCGTAAGCCCTTTGGTCTGGCCTCTTCTCCACCAATCTCCAGGCTCCTAGAAACCTCTGTCAGCAACAAAGATGTGTGGGGATATTGTGGAGATAGTGTCCTCCAGCAAATCCAGGCATCCTGGATCTGCAGAAGCAGTCTTCCCAGGAGACCACGTACAAGTGTCCACTTTCTTGGGATACTAGACTGCCACTTTTCCTCTAGCTCCCCTCTGCTCTCCTATAGAGGCACCATTCTTTAGGTGTGCTTAGCAGGATTCCCCCCCCCCCCCATAATTCAGGTCTCCATTCTTTCCATTTCAGGGTAAAAAAAAAAGAAAACCTTCCATTTATTAGGGCCTTAACTCTCTGCTGCCTACACAAGGTGCTTTCACACATCCGACCTTCTTCAGTCTGCACAACATTGAAGGTTGTTCTTCACATTCCTTACCTTGAATAGAGCTGCTTTTCCTTGTCTTTGCCCCTTCCTCCCCACTTCTGAGCAGCCGCTGGTCCCTCCTCCCACCAGAGACCCTCCTCCTTCTCCCTGTTGTTCAGGCTCTGCTGTGGGGGTGACTAATTATAGCTGAGCGTTGCTACTCACTCCCCAGCTATGCTGGCACAGGCTGTACTCCAATCTCACCAATACAGTCTTCCTGTAGGAATCACACAGCTTAGAATTTGCCCCTCTACTCCCCCAGGGACTCTGCTGGGGATGAGGGGAGGCTGGGCAGGAACAGAACTACTTTCCACTCTGTTCTGACAGCCCATTAATAACGGAAAATGGGGCCTGAATGCCTTCAGGGAACCTAGCTCTGCCTGAGAACAGGATTTGGTGATGAGTTTTTGGATTGCAGTGCTGGGGTTGATGCATGCCCTGGAAGTGAGAATGGAATGGAGTCCCTGAAGGAGAGGAGAGGGGAACTGAAGGTAGGGATGTGTGTGGGCAGATCTATGACTGAATTTACCTTAGAGCCTGGCAGCAATGGGAGCTAGTGGGAGGAGCCTAGATTTGGGAGCTGAGAATTGGGTTTGCTGAGGAATCTATGAGTTGCGGGAAAGTTCCTGTCTTATATGGGGTTTATATAGCAACAAATGTAGTTGCCCCCGTAAATTCCAGGTTTTGGCTAGGTTGGAAGTCACCTCCCCTGGAAGTAGAAGAGAGCCTCTTCATCAGCACTGCCCCCCCCACTCTCTCTCTCTCTCTCTCTCTCTCACACACACACACACACACACACACACACACAAATCTTCACAGAGGATGGGAGAGATCAGTAGGACAATCAGGGATACCTTCCCTCAGCTTCATTGCTAGGAAGTTTTTTCCCCTTTTATTCAACAGAAATTTATGTAGTTCCCATTATGTGCCTGGAATTGCTCTAAGCTCTTTGGGTACAGCTTCCAAAGGGCACACTGTCTTAGCATTGGGTCTGACATACGCTAATGTGGAGGCCACTTCCATTATCTGCCACTCCAGGTATGGGTAGAGGTGTTTACTTCAGATCTCAGGGCCCAGGGGAAAGCCAAAAGAGTTTATTTTAGTGGGGAAAGAGAGGAGTGGCGATAATGCTAGACACCCATTTCATACTTCTCTTCTTTTCCTGGGGACAGGTCTGTCATTATTTTCCCACAGAGCCATTTTTTAAAAAATATTTTTTATTTTTAAGTAATCTCTATATACAACTCAAAGTCACAACCCTGAGATCAAGAGTGGCATGCTTCACTGACTGAGCCAGCCAGGCACCCCTTCCCTAGAGTCATTTTCAATCAACATTTGTTGAGAACCTACTATATATCTGATATCCTGCTGGACACATTCACACTATATCTTTTTTTTTTTTTTTTAAAGATTTTATTTATTTATTTGACAGAGAGAGATCACAAGTAGACAGAGAGGCAGGCAGAGAGAGAGAGAGAGAGAGAGAGAGGGAAGCAGGCTCCCTGCTGAGCAGAGAGCCCGATGCGGGACTCGATCCCAGGACCCTGAGATCATGACCTGAGCCGAAGGCAGCGGCTTAACCCACTGAGCCACCCAGGCGCCCCACACTATATCTTTTTATCCTCACCCTGGGTGAAAGGTATTTTTCCTATATTACAGGAGAGGAAATTGAAGTTCAGGTAAATTAAATAGTTTGAGATCACACATTAGAAAGTGATGGAGCCAGAAGAACTGGAGATCTTCTTGCTAAAAATCCAGTGTTTTTAAAACTATTGTTTTAATTTAATTTAAAGCTATTGTGTCATTAGTTGAGCCTATATAATGAGAAGCACATTGGATTAGGATGTATAATATGTGTTATGGTCTAGTTAGGAAGCAGGACACAATATATTAGGTAATGTTTACCGAGTGCTTATGATAAAGCACTGGTTAAGTGCTATCAAGTAGATTGTTTTACTTAAACCTCCCAGCAACTCTATGAGATCATGACTGTTTTTATTCCCATTTTGCTGATGAGAAAACTGAAAGAGAGGTGAAGTTAAGTGCTCGGAGCCCATGGAACTAGGAAATAGAGGAGCTAGTTTTCAAACACAGACAGCCTGACTGTAGAGGCCCTGATTTTTATAGCTATGTTATGCATAAAAATATACCAACTAACATTTGCTGAGGCTCAAATAATAGCTATGAATAAGGGAGATCAGAGAGAAAGGTGAGGTCCCCTGAGGATGAGAGTAGAGAGGAGGGGACATTTCCAGAAATGGAAAGAGCAAGCAAAGGCCTATGTTACCATGACAGAAGCACTAAGAGACAGACAACCTTAGCTGCAGCGGAGGGCTTGTAGCCATGCAAGCTGGAGGTTTGAGCAGTCTTGCCTTTCTTTTCTCCTCCTTGGTCCCAGGGTCAGGTTTCCTGACCTTGGATAACCCTCTGAGACTGGGAGGTTAAAGACCTCTGTGTGTGTGTGTGTGTGTGTGTGTGTGTGTGTGTGTGTGTGTGTCTCCCCGTCCCATAAGCTGATAGATCCTGCCCTCTTCTTGCATTGTAGTGTTTCACTTGTC